ACTGGATAGTAGTCACTGGCTCCCTCCGCACATCAGGCCTCTGCGGCTGGTAACAAAGTAACTGAGTAGACGCGGGAAGTTTCCTCTGTGTTACTTTGGTCACAATGTATCCTGTTCGCCTCACCCAGAGACAGCCGATGTCACCATTTCTGTAACTTTCTCCGGAGGTCGTCTAAAAGGGAACAAGTTTCTGCATATATGTATGCATATCTATCTGCCCACCTATCATCTATGTATTTTCCACAAACGGTAGCACACGTTTATATTAGTCCTTTTGTAGGGGAACACAGCTCTCAAGGATTCTTCCCAACTGCGGCCTCATCCCAAGAAGGCCTGGCAGCCGCCCAGTGTATTTCAGCGGTTCCCTATCCACAGACGTTGAGTCGAGGCTGCTGGTACAAGTGAGCCTGCGGCGGACAGCCTGGCACGCCGCCGTGCGCACGCGAAGCTTCTCCGTTCTAACGCCGGCCCGGAGTGCGGTGAGAGTGATGCTCCGTCGTGTATTTCATGGCCCCCACTTCCCTCCATTATGGACAGCACCGCTCCGGCCGTAAATCTGGCGCGCGCCTCTGATGACTCCCTGGGACGCCTTTCCAGAAGGAAGCGCTGCGTAAACACCGTTTAACCTCCAGCGGCCTCAGGCCCTGTTGACCGGGGCCGAATCGGGCCGCCCCTGCGCCCGCCTGCACCGGGGTGGGCGTCTCGGCGGAGTCCTCCCCAGGTTTTAACGATGACGCTTTACTGCAAAGTCCTGGCAAAGGGACAGCTTCTGTGCACAATGAATGACACTGGTCACCTCAGATCAATAGAGCAATCTCAGAGGATGGCAACAAGCTTCCAGGAATTTTCGTCTACACCCACGATCCGAGGCCGGGTTCAGCCCGACCTGAATGGAAATGGCCGGGATCCAGACCGTCCCCGGGGAGCTGGGCACTGGGAGAATCGGCCACTGTCACTCGGAGCCAGTCGGTCGGGGGGCGGGGCGCGGGGCAGCTTGTGCTCCAGATCCGATCAGGTCGCTGGAGAGAAGTAGGGAGGGGCCGAGGGAGGCGGTTGCCGAGGCAACGGTAAACCGTCGAGGGCCAGATTGGTGGAGAAGCCGAAAGCCTCCAGGGCGCGTGGAATTGTGGGCGAGAAGAGGCGGAATAACAGGAGGGCTCCGCGGCGGCTGGCTCGCGGGCTCGCGGGCTCTCGGGCCGCCCTCCCGAGGGCGCTCGGATGGCCGTGCCCCAGCGGCCTGGCTTTGCAACCGACCGTTTACTGGCTGGATGGGAGCTCGGCGCCCGGCAGAGGGTTATTCTGTGGGTGCTCTAGAGGGAACAGGCGCTGAGGCTGAAGCCTGCCGTTCTTTCAAAATTGCGTTTGTGTATTGTGTTGTTTCGGTTTATAAACCGACCAAGATCACTAGAAACTAACAGCGGAGGGGGGGGGCGGGGACCAGGGAGAACCCAGCGCTGGAGTTGAGCCTTAACTGGCAGGCTAAGTGATTCCGGCTCGGACCTGACGGGCTGAAGGGGCTGCTTTTGCATGGAGACTCCTTCCTTTAGCGCCGAACCTTCGCCTCTGGAATGTTGCCGCGGGGGCGGCAGTGCGCAGCAGGGCCCCGGTGCGGTTCCGTCCCTCGGCTGGGGCTCTGCTCCCTCTGCTGGGGTTCTGCTCGGGGACTTAACGCACTGACCGTGGGCAGCTTCAAAGCCCTGGTGGCTACGAAGGGTCTTTTGAGATTTGGGGCTTTTAATGATCACCCTTGGCCCTGTGAGCTGAGTGACTAGATTGCGGGGGAGGCACCTCGGGACTCGGGTTCAGAGTGGGGACCCCAATCGGGGACCCACACAGCTGTGGGCAGATACAGGGCCACCTGCTAACCCTGACAAGCTCAGGGGAGGCCTGCACGGCGGCCTTAGGGACCCAGAGACCTGAAGTGGCTCCTGGGGGCGCTCTGAAACGGAAGCTGGAACTGAAGGCAGGTCGTGGTGGGCAGCCAGGTTCCTGGCCGGCGTCTCCCCTGGCGGAAGTCAGCCTGTGCCTTCCCTGAGCCCAGCCTGTGCGTTTTTCCATCTGGGACGCCAGATCTCTGGGAGGCCAGGGTAATTCCCTTTCTCAGACCCCGGGGGGCGCAGGCTCCCGCTGGAGCGGAGACGGCAACCCCTCCTCCTTGCTGCTCTCCTGTTGTTCACTGGTAAGCTCCCACCTGGGCACAGGGAACCCGTGTCTGTTCCGTTTTCTCATCCAACCCCAGAGATCCTCCCCCGCCCCCGCTCTCTCCTGCCTCCCTCGTCCATCAACCAGGGATTCACCAAAACCCCGCCCGCCTTCCCCTTTGGTTCCAATGTGTGAAATAAGTGGCGAAACCGCCATTTTCCAGAACACTTCCTCCGTCTGTTGGGACTTCGCTTCCTGGCAGTTGTCCTCGGCTTGACTCAAATAAACTCACACAAATTCTTACAGGTTTGGACGTTTCTTAAATCAACACCTGCGACCCTGAGCGCGCTGCGGGGACGGAGAACCAAAGCCGCCAAGATGCAGGAGGAGGAAAGGGGTGTGGGGTCTGCACCCGAGACCAGGGCACCGGCTGCGTCACCACCGACGACGTCAGGGGGTCTGGCCCCGGGCGGGTCCGCCTTGGGCTTCCAGGAGTGTGTGGGTTCTTGACTTCGTGCAGGAAAAGACTTCACGACACAAGTCCAGGGGACTTGGAGGGTGCGTTTCATGAAGCTGGGGACGGTGAAGCAAGGAAGAGGCCGCAGGAGGGCCCAGGCTGGGCTGCCGCAGCCCACTGGGCAGGCACTGAATGGGGGCCTTGGGGGCAGGCTCCAGGGGTCGGCCTGAGCCCAGCTGCCCGCCGCTGCCCACGGTGGCTCCCCTGGCTGCGAGGCCGTCGGGAAGAACCTGACAAGCTAACTCTAAAACTCCTCTGGAAATGTGAAGAGCCGTCTTGGATACTTCCTTTCACGTCTCCGTGCTTCTAGGAGCCTCGACACCCCTGTCGTGACCGGTGCGCAGCAGCTGACACCCCGGTCCTGCCATCAGTCCCTTTGTTGCAGCTCAACGAAACCACTCTCACGACTCCGTGGAAACGCCCTGCCCCTGGCCTCCAGGCCTCTGCTAGGCAGTCAGCGCACCTTCGGCCGGGCCCTCGCCTGCCCTTCCCACTGCCCAGGCACCCGGTCAGCTGTCGCTTTGGTGTGAAACGCGGTTCCTGCCGAGGCAGGAGAGAACCACGGAGCAGCACATCTGTCAGCCAGCAAGCAGGGTTCACCGGTGCCGCGTTCTCAGGCAACAGAACCGGCCTTGCGGGCGTGGGGAGGAAGGCCCAGGCTCGGGGCGGGACAGCCGCAGGCAAGAGCAGGGGCTGCCCGGGCCCGGTCCTTGGACCCGAGGACTTACACACCGTACTGTGCTGTGTATAGTGTGCACCTTTTTGCCCAAATTTTCGAGGGCAAAATAAGGATATGCATTATACACAGGTAGTACTAATTGTGTTCAACCTATGGAAAAACGAAAGATTTTTTTTTCCCTTGAAAGTTTGGGCCAAAAATGTGGGTGCACAGCATACACGGAGAGTGCATTATACACAGCAAAATATGGTAGTTGGAGGGAGGGGGGTGAGGGAGTTACATATTGATTGACAGGTACAGGTGGCGTCAGCTTTGCGGGGGCAACCGCGGGCCGTGACTACCCAAACAGGTATGCTGGGGGTCTGTTAGTCCGAATTCTTATCTTGCTCCAGAAGCTGTTTGTTCATCTTGTTGTAAATCAGACACATGACAGGAAGCAGTTAATTAAAGTTGGGGCTGTTACCCAGGGTTATTTATGGGCCCTTTCTGTAAGCACTAGGGCCTCCATCGTAAAACAGATAGTGACCAGAGGTAGGCAATCAACCAAGGGTGTTTTATGGACTTCTTCTTCGGGCACCGTGGAACCCCTCCCCCTTCCCTTCCCAGGCCTTGGGATATAGACATAGTTTCAAAAGCTTTGCTTCCCAGATAGCGCAAACGATGCAGAGAATTTCAGGGGGGTCCTTCCTCTCATGCTGACATGGTGCTTCTCGTGCAGGTGGAACACCTGGCAACCTTATCCGACCAGGTTCAGGACTGCTGAGTTAGCGGGCGAGGGGTTTCCAGCCTCCCCGCTGCCTGAGTTTGCCATCCATCCCGCCTGAGCGCTAAATGGCGTTTCCTGGCAACCAGGACGCTAGCCGCTGTCCAGCAACAGCAGCGAGGTCTCAGGAGTTCTTCCTGCCGCGTCTCTAGCTCCCAGCCCGGCTCAGGGCAGAGCGGCAAGCCCAGGGTCCCTGAGCGCGGCTGCAAGCTGCCCAGCGACTTTCTGGAGACGGTGCTGTCCTGTGGCCGTTCCACGCACGAGGAAACTGAGGCTCAGAACAGGGCAGGGCTCGCGGGCCCGGCCCTCGGAGCTGGAGGTGGGACCCAGGTCTTCCAGCCCCCAGCCAGGCGGGAGGAGGCCTGCACAGGGTCGGCAAGCGGCTCTTCCCGGTTCCAGGAGGTCCGAGGGGCATTGGAGCTTGGCTGGGAGCCCTGGGCCCTGCCGCCCCTCCCCGGACCCCAAGGGAAAGTCCAAAGCGGCCCGGGAGCCCAGCGCTGCCCGGGGCCACCGGCGTCGGTAGCTCAGTAACCGGCCAGAGATACTGCACGTCCCCAGGGCCGAGAGCCACAGACCTTGCCCCCACAGTCCCTTGTCCCCTCGGTCCCCCCCCAGGATCCCGGGTACCCTGGCTCCCCAGGCCCCGAGCCCCCAGCGCCCGGGGCCCCACAGCCCCGCCCGCGGCCACTGCAGGGCCCGCCCTCCTTCCGCCCGGCCCGGGCGCAGGCGGAGCAGGATCCGTCGCCGCACTTTCGTCATCGCTCCCACCAGTCGCCTGAAAACGCCGACGATAGAAACGCTCTCTCCAGCGAACACGGAAGCTCCTGCCGCGGAGGGGCCTCCAGAGGAGAAGGGCTGCGATCACAACATTTTCTAGCGGCGCAAACGGCTCCGAGCGCTTGGCGAATCTGCTGCACAGGCGCGCCGGAAGTGGGGCCGCCCTTCGCCGGAAGTCGCGCTTCCTCCATTTTGTTGCCCGCTATGGCGGCCGTGTCGAGGTTGGGGCCTGGATGCGGCGCTTTTGACTGAGGGGCAGGCCAGGGAGAGGCATCCGGGACAACGGTGCACGACAGGGCCAGCCTGGTCGCCGGGGACGCTGTCATGTACGGCGCGAGCGGCGGCCGTGCCAAAGCCGAGAGGAAAAGTGGCGCGAAGGAGGAGGCCGGGCCCGGCGGAGCCGGCGGTGGGGGGAACCGAGTGGAGCTGCTGGTCTTCGGCTATGCGTGCAAGCTGTTCCGGGACGATGAGCGGGCCCTGGCTCAGGAGCAGGGACAGCACCTCATCCCCTGGATGGGGGACCAGAAGATCCTCATCGACAGGTCGGTTCCTCCTCACCCGTCGGTCCTCCCTCTCCCGCGCCCGCTCGATGTCGTCTGATGTTGACTCGATGACCAGGACTTGAAAGGGGGTGTTCGGAGCCAGCAGGGATCCTGGGGACCCTCCCCTGCCCCACAGCCCCCTGGTGTTGGGGGGAGGGAGACGGTGAAACCGGCTCTAAGGCTCCGGCTGGAGTTGCCGCGTCTGTCGCCGCAGCCCCCGGCGCCCCGCGCCCTGCCGCTGGGCTCCGGTTGGCCCCCGCGCGCGGTGGGAGCTGCCGGAGCCCCGGGCCCCGGCCTCGCGCTGGGCCCGGGACGCCGCCCTGCGAGGCCGCGGTCAGAGCGGCGTGTGGAGCCCGGGCGGGAGCCTGGAACCGCTTCGGAGCGCCGGAGCGGGGCCGGCGCCCGACTCTGGGTTCCCACGGCCCCTCCCCCAGCCGCGCCGTCGGCGGGTTTGACAGCTGCTGGCGGAGGGGGCGGGCGCCCGTCGAGGGGCGGCGGGCGACGTCCTCGGACGCGGGCCCGTGCTGAGGGCGGGTTTCACCGGCTCGGAGGGAGGCGCCGGGATGCAGATGAGCCTCTTTTCCAATCAAACCTGCTTCGGAAAACCACCCTGCGGGGCGCCCGGCCCTTGTGGGCCGAGGGGCCCCCGCGGAGATCGGGGTGTCGCAAGACGTTTGATTTGAAAAGGGTGACGTTGCATGACGTAGGTCGTTTGCTCCCCGCCCCCCAGTGTTTTCAGGCCCCTCCTCTTCCCCCCAACTCGGGCTTTTTGCTAGTCGGGTTGGCTTTTGGCCGCTTCGGCAACTGCACTTCCGGGCCCGGACTGAAAAGCCCGCTGTCACCAGCTATTAAACCGTGGGACGCTCTGGAGCGAAGGAAGCCCATCGCTTAAGACAGTTAAACCTGGATTCCGCACAGCCCGGCGCCGCGACTGTAGGCATGACTCTGGGCTGACCAGGATGGCCGCAGTGACCCGTAGGCCTCCCCGTCCCTGGCGTTTCCGTCCGGAGTTAGCGCTAGGCCGCGAAGACTCGAGCAGGGAGGCGGCCGGGGCAGGCGGGACGCGGGCCCAGCCCTCAGGCCGCTGCACCTGCACCCCGCGGTTGCCGCCGAACGATGGCGCTGCGCCCCTGGCTTGTCGGGCGCTCGCCCCTCCAGAGCGTTACTGGTGACAGTCGCTCCTGAAGTTGGCGGGCGCGGGGGGCAGAGCTCGCGCACATTTCCGTGCCGTTCGGTGCGCGACTCCGGGCAGGTCCCGCAGGGCCGGTGGGGAGCGAACGCCGCGCGTGCGCACATGTGGTAGTTGCGGGTAATGAACTACGTTTGTAAGTTAAGGAGGTTTACAGCAAAGCGAAAGTAGTTTGGAAATTTAATAAAATGTCATCACTTGGCTACCCTGGAAGTTTTGGCCCTTTTTCTTGTCAATGTCTTTTTTGGGGTCCTCGTTACAAAAGTCAGCGTTAAAAATCAGGCAGACTTTTGTCTGACTCTCAGAGTTTGTTTTTGTGACCCTAAAGCTGAGTGTTCCAAGTGAAACGCACTGACTCATTTATTACCTGAAAGTCGCCCATTGACAGCCTCTCCTTGAATCGTTTATGTGAAAGGTATAGCAGGAGGCTACACCTTTTCTTGCCCTTAATGTGGCAGAAGGACCCGTAGGTCCCTGCAGCCCAGGGGCCTGGGGTGGGGGTGGGGTGACGCTCAGAGGGAAGCCGCGCTTGCTCTGCCCCCGGTGAACCTCCTTGAACTGCATGCACCTGTCACTGTTCCTATGTACGTGTGTCTCTCTACCACATAACCAGCACTTATTTCCTCAGCCAAGTGGCTAGGGGCCAGCCTAGCCCAGATTTTACCTCCCATGGACGCAAGTTTCTTTGGTGAAGATCTCTCCTGAGAGTTCGGGACTAGCAGAGAGAAGCGAGGAAAGTTCGACCGTTTGGTTCTTACGGATAGGTATTTATGTACTCGGTTTGTGTGAATGTAAGCTATGATATTTGACTTTTCAGAAAACTGTATTTTGCAAATGGCATTGCCTAGTTGACCGAACCGTAAACGGCAGGGCAGGAACCGCCAGTGGAGCGGACCTGCCACTTATGCTATCGAAGGGTTGTTTGCCTGTAGTCGTGAGTGTCCTCGTATCGTAGCAAAGAACGGAGGCTCTGTTAAGGTAACTTGAGTTTACAAGTAGGTGAGGTGGGACTAGACGAATGAGATGTAAATCTGAGAAGAGCCTTTATGTTTATTGAAACTAGTTGTATTTGCTTTAATTGGTAAGTATCTGTATGCAGCCACACACAAACCAAGGCGCCGTCCACTCCCCCCGCTGACCAGCGCGTCCGCATTGCAGGTACGACGGGCGCGGCCACCTGCACGACCTGTCCGAGTACGAGGCTGCGCACGCCACCTGGAACAGAGACTACCAGCTCTCGGAGGAGGAGGCGCGAGTAGAGGCCCTGTGTGATGAGGAGAGGTATTTAGCCTTGCATACGGACTTGCTTGAGGAGGAGGCGAGGCAAGGTACTGCTCAAGACAAACCTACTGCGGCACCCACGTTTGACCGTTTTTACGTATTTAAATTAAACTTGCTCCCACTCGTTTTTTTATACTCACTCTTTCTGATGTTATCTTGACAGTACCCAGTGGATTGGAAATCAGGCGTCTTTGCGCTCTGGGAGGACCTCAGGATAGGTTATGTGTAGAGCCACAGAGACTCTGCCCGCCTTTGCGGGCAGACTGGGATCTGACAAAACAAACCAAACTCTTTAACTGTTCTCCCTTAACAGTATCGTATGAACCAAGTTGATGCTCTTGTCTTTGCCTTCACAACCTTGGATGCGGTTCTTAACCCCCCAGTTTCTCAGCAGGAGGAAACCCCCGCACGAGACTGTGTCCTGCGGTCTGTGGTAAATGTCCTGGCAGAGGGACACACCGACAGGTGTCAGGGGGCGTTTGTGACGACACTCTTGCCTCAGAAAGAGGTCGAAAAAGCGTGTTGTGTGCTTAACTGATAGCTACAACGTTAGGAAAATATGAATTTTTTCTCAGTAAATTTCCATTTTGTTAATAAATTCCCATTTTTATTCAAGAGGAAGAATACAAGCGCCTGAGCGAGGCCCTGGCCGAGGACGGGAGCTATAACGCGGTGGGATTCACGTACGGGAGTGACTATTATGACCCGTCCGAGCCGACCGAGGAAGAGGAGCCTTCCAAACAGAGAGGTGAGGGGGGGCGGGGCTGGCCCTCGGGGCGGCGCTCTCCGTGTGTGGCGGGGACATCCTCACGGAGCACACTCTCGGGCACGGAGTCAGGGCCGTCGTGGTGACGGGAGAGCTGGGTGGCTTTCCCGTGTAGGACGAAACGCAGCTGAGCACTATTAGAACAGACCTGCTCGTGGGGATGGAAAGTGGGCCCAGCTTCCGCCCTCCGCGTCGGGTTCAGGGAACTGGGAGTCACCTGGCTTCTTTGTTTCTCGAGTGACAGCTGGTGTGCGGGTGCCTGTCCCCAGGGCTTGCTCTCGGGGTTTTGAAAGGACAGGCCTCCCCCGCCCCGGGCTGGCCTGCCCCTCCACGTGCCCCCCCAGCCGAGGCCCAGTGGAAGGTTGCCCGCGGGCCCGGCGACGACAGCACAGCAGACAGCAAAGGTGTTCTGCTCAGGCTGAGTAGGACACGTGCTAAGAGCACAGTGTTTTAAACCAACACCTGCTTGAGAGGGAAGACTTCAGACTTGTGCTTTCCTGGCTCAGCTGCTGAGCTGTGGGTGTAAGAGTGCCGCTGAACCATCTGGAGTCCTGGGGTTCAGGGGTGCCTGTCCTCAGTCGCTGGTCAGGATAGGCCGCCGTGTACAGGGTGCTCTTCAGCAGGGAGGGCAAGACTTGACTTGAGAAACCCGCGTCTGCAGACTGGAGCCGCGCCCTGCAGGGACCTGCCATCCAGGGCCCAGGTGGTTCCTCCTGCAACAGACCGAACAAGTGTGAGGGACGGTGGCTGTGGCTCCAGGAAAGACTGTCTGCCCGTCCCGGGCGCAGCTGCCCGGGCTCTCCACCCTCAGGGGGCGGGGCCTGGTGGAGCCGCCAGGAGTGGAAGGCGCCCGGGCAGACTGGTCCCCTGCTGCCCTTCCTCCATCCTGCTCGTCACCTGGGGGACGGAACAGCCATGGCCACACGGCCCTGTCCCGGGAGCTTGTAGAGAGACTTTCAGACCTGGCGTTCACTGTGCGCAGGTGAAGTTCCGCGAAGGTGTTCCACATCTCGCAAGTTGACTTTTGGGCCCCCGCTGGAAATGCCCTTCACGTGAGAAGGAGACGCCTCTTCATCCACACAGGGCGTCCATCGTGGGGTATTAGGTCGCCCCGACCTTGTCCCGTCTCTGAACCCTCTGCCTTCCAGCTGCCGTAGACACGCAGTGTTTGGGTCAGAGGGGTGGAGAGGACAGAACCGTCCTTGCGCACAGAAGAACTGAAGTGTGACCAAGGGACTCTCTTTGAGCAAACGGCGGACTGTTGGTTTCTTAACACCCCGGGTCGGGGGTCAGCAAGTCCCGAGCGAAGGCCCCGCTGGCGTGTGTCCGGGAGGCGCCCTGGAACCGCACGCCCGTCCGCTAGCGGTCCCAGGGGCGCGCTCCTCCCGCCACCACCCCTCCCCACCCCCGCCGTGGGGTTGGCCAGAGCGGTTGTGCTTGCTTGCCGTGGGACAGGATGGAAAGCGGGACAGCGTTTCTGGGGGAAGTGACACAAAAACGGGGTGGGCCGGCCAAGGCCAAACGCCAGCCCCCCGCATTGCTGTTCACTGCGGGTGGGCGCCGGCGCTCCGGACGCACCCCTGAAGCCCCGTGTTTCCTTCCCACGCAGAGAAGAGCGAGGCTGAGCACGCGGATGAGAACGAGGAGCCCTTCGTGGCCCCCCCAGGGCTGAACGTGCCGCCCGACGTGGAGCTGGTGGGTGCACTGCCGCCGGGGCCCTCGCGCCGTGGGCCAGGGCCTGGCTGGGGGTGGGGGGGGCCGGCGCTGCCGCGCCTGCAGTGCAGTGCAGGGACTGCTCCACAGTCCCTGTGAGCCCACAGAGAGAGGCCACACCCCACCCCTTCCCTCCCAGGGAGCGGGGCCGCTGCAGCACAGCCACTGACCAGGGCGTCTGGGCCCGGAGGGGCAGCGGCGCGCTCTCAGGCCCCCCCCGCCCCAGCCAGTGGGAGCCCCAGGCGCGGTTGGAGGGGGGGTGGGCTCTCGGCCACACCAAGGCCCAGAAAGTCTCGCTCAGGGCAGCACGGCCTTCAGTAAAGGTGCCTGGTCAGCTTTTTCTGGTGTTTCCGTGGGCTTCACACACGTCTCCTTACACCTTCTTGGCCTTGTAACCCGGGGGGGGGGGGGCTACTTGTGAGACATTCTAGACTGGCGGGTGCCTCTGCCGGGCTGTGGGGGGCAGTGCGTGTTCGTTGCAGTGACCCGGGTCTGCAGCGGCCATTGGCCGCGGCCCCGTGAGTGGAGTGCACTGTCTCAGAGGAGCCCCTGATGAGACTGCGACAGCGGGCCGTGCGTCCAGGTCACCTTGGGGTCCGCAAACAACTCCGATCGCAGGCATTTGTCCTGCTTAAGTGTGAAGGGCATCGTTAGCCAGGGATTAGTTTCAGATTTAAGGCGTTTACATTTTATGAAATTGCAATGAGCATCTTAATTGCCCCTTTTTAATGAGAATACTTCCCCACTTTATTGGCGTGTAACTTCCTGGGGTTAGCTCTTCATCACGACTATGTGGACGTGTGGCGTCCAGCGTTTGGTCTGACCAGCGGCGTGGCAGGGTGTGCCGAGGGCGCGGGGGGGAGGTGGCTCGGGGGAGCCTGCCCAGTCACACGGCCCCGGCCTGTGGGCTGCCGTGCAGGGCCCTGTGCTTTGCGTGGGGGTGTCAGTGACCTGCAGCCACGAGCCGCGTCTCAGGGAGCAGTGGGAAGAACATTCAGGTGCAGAAGGAGGGCTTGGAGGGAGCCTGTGGCTCTCTGCACATGCCCAGAAGAGTCGTCTCCAAGCAGTGAAAACAAAAACTCGTTCTAGCTAAGAGACAGAAAGGAGTGATTCTCAGACGCTGGAGAAACTTGCTTGGAAATGCAGATGCATGTGCAAGTTCGTCTGCACCCTGTGAGGACCCCCCCCCCGCCCCCCCGCCGCTGAGCCCCACCCAGAGCCCAGGGGAAGGGCCCTGGTTCTGTGGGTGGGCCTTGGTGTGGCGACGGCGCAGAAGCAGGTGCCAGCTCCGCACAGAGCTGGAGTGGCCCGCCTGGCGGGCGAGGGTCTGCCCCACTGAGTGGGGCGGGGTTCGGGGACGGAGGTGGCCGTGTGACCGGGCCCAGGGTGGTTCCTGTGTTTCGAGTGCCGGGCCAGTGACCTGCGGGTGTCTTCTCCCAGCCGCCCACAGCCAAGATGCACGCCATCATCGAGCGCACGGCCCGCTTCGTGTGCAGGCAGGGCGCGCAGTTCGAGATCATGCTGAAGGCCAGGCAGGCCCGGAACTCGCAGTTCGACTTCCTGCGCTTCGACCACTACCTCAACCCGTACTACAAGTTCATCCAGAAGGCCATGAAGGAAGGGCGCTACCCCGTGCTGGCGGAGGGCAGAGGCGACGAGAAGCAGAGTACGTGCAGCCAGGGCCCTTGCTGCTGTGCGGGGTGGGGGGCGGCGCGGCGGCCATTGTCACAGGGCTGTGGGAGCACTCACCCACGTCTGTGCCGCCCGCCACGAGGGGGACAGTGACCCCGCCACCCCCCTGCACACACCCGGGAGGCTCTTCTCCGGCAGTCGGGAGAGAGACCAGAGTCCTAATTAACACTCGTGTGGATGGGCGAAGCAGTGAACTTCCGATGCTCTCAGAACTAACCCCCAGGTGCAAGGTCGTCCCCTCCCCACCTGGCTGCCAGGTGTTTCTGGAGAAAGCTGCAGGCGCACCGGCCGCACACACACACGCGCACACACGCACACACACGCACACACACGCACACGCGGGAACGAAGTGCTGACTCGGCTCTCCTTTCCCCTCATCTCCGCCCGGGGCTGTGGTGCTGGGACGGTGTTAGCTCTGGAGTGCTCACTGCGGACTCTGTCTGAACCGCGCGCGCAGACGGGCTGCTTTCCTTCTGCTGAGAGGTGGTCTTCAAATGCAGTTGTGTAAATCCTGCGACAGCTCTCACTGTGTGTGTGTGTGTGTGTGTGTGTGTGTGTGTGTGGTGGTTTAAAGATGCCTGTTGCTGCTACCTTGCCTTTCACAAACTGGTAAGACTTTGCCTTCTTTGCACAACAGCCCTGGGCTAGTGCGCAGCGGCCGGAGGCCAGCCGCCGGCGCTGGGACCCTGCCGCGCCCGGCGTTCTGCGGGGCGAGTGCTTGTCAGTGCCCGGAGCGTTTCCAGAGGCGTTTTCCGGGCGGTCCCCTGCAGCTCACGGGCGCCCCTCCTCTCTCCCCTGCAGAGCCGGGGGCCAGCTCCGACGACGAGGGCGACGACGACGAGGGCGACGGGAGCTACCTGCACCCGTCCCTCTTCGCGTCCCGGAAGTGCGACCGCCTGGAGGAGCTGATGAAGGTGGTGCCCGCGCCCCGGCCCGGGCTTCTGCGCCCTTAGCGTCAGCGCGCCTTCCCTGGGAGGGCTGTGTCTTAGCTCGCCCTCGCAGAGCTCTGCCGGGCACCTCTTCCGCTCGGGGTTACTCCGTCCACCCCGGTTTATAAAGCGCATGAGCACCTCCATTCATTGTCCCTGCGCCACTGGCTGTGCAGGAGACCGCGCCCTCTGCGACGGGTCCCGCCCCCACCCGTCCGCACTGTGCGGGGGCTGCTCTGCGCCCTCACACCGGCAGCGCGCGCACACCCCCACCGTCCCCGCGGGTGGGGCGGGTCCCCAAGGCTTCTGCTCCCGTCTCAGCGGTGGGCGGGAGGACTGCACGCTGCACGGCTTGGGCTTGTAGCGCTGTTAGTGATTGGAAATGAGAAGCTTCTCTGAGGGCGGACTGCGAGCGCCCCTCGCTGGCACCTGCGTGCGCGCGTGCGCGTGCGCGCGCATGCAGGGCGTCCCTCAAGCTGCAGGCGTCGCTCGGAGGTGAGCTGGCCTTCGTGGCGCTGCAGAGCTCCGAGTGGACAGACCACGGGCACCAAGTGACAGCTCTCTTCATCCACAGCCCCTGAAGGTGGTGGATCCGGACCACCCGCTGGCGGCGCTGGTGCGCAAAGCCCAGGCCGACAGCCCCGCCCCGGCCCCGCCCTCGGCCGACGGTGCAGCTGCCCCGCCCTCGCAGGTGGAGTACCCTGCGGACTGTGAGTACCTCAGCACGCCCCTTCCCACGCCCCGCTGCAGGGCCAGGCCGGGCGGAACAGCGGGGTGTCCCCAGAGCTGGCGTGGGCGGTGCTGTGCAGGGCTGGGGGAGGTGCCTACCCTCCTGTTCAGGTGTCCCGCGCTCGAGGCCTCCTTTTGCTCGTCACTACCCTCAGCACCCTCTGCCATGCGAGGAGGACGGAGCGGGTGGTGGGCGCGGCCGGTGGATGCTGCCCCTCTTCAGAGACCTCCCCAGCGGCCTTGCCGGCCCTGATTCTCCCGTGAACCAGGACGGGGCCGCGTGGCCCTTGGTCCGCAGTGGAGGCTGGGAACTGGGCTCTCTGCCGGGTGGGAGGTGGCCCTGAGCGAACCAGAGCTGAGCCGAGAGGGAGCGGGGAGGGTGGCGTGGCCGGCGGGCCGAGTTCCGTTGAAGACGCACAGGCCCCTCAGAGCTCCTCTGGGCTTCCGCGTCCAGGGCTGGCCTCGGTCTGCGCCTGCAGTCACCTAAGGTGACCCACAGGAGCCGAGCCCAGCAGTGACCCGGGAGACCACTTGGAAGGGGGCGGGGATCAGTGTGAACGCTTCGCTCAGATTGCCGCGTGTGCTGGCTGCTGGCCGCTGGCGGACTCCGGCTGTCAGAAAACGGCGCAGAAGCCAGAGGGTTTGGAAGGAGTGGCGGTGCAGGGAGGCACAGCGGGAGGCCTCCGGGCGAGACCCCGGGCGGTCGGAGGAGGCCCTGTGTGCGGGCCGATGACCTCGTCTCCCTGGGAGTGTGCGGCCGGGCCGGCGGCCGTCCTGAGACCCGGGGCCGGGCCGGGCCGGAGTGGGGGAGCTGCGCACCCCCAGTCGGGACTCGGGAGGCGAGCGCCTGGTGCCCTGGGTCGGATTCTAGGTGTGCTCTCTGCCACCGGGAGTCACTTTCCCCTGCTCCAGTTCCACGACAGTTTTTAAAAAATAGTTGACTTTTTATTCTGCCTTTCTGAAGGGTACGTCTCTTCTCACTGAAACACCATCCGTTGGCATAAATTTTCATTAAATACATAATCACAGTGAGGTTACCTGGAAACAGTAGTTGAAGAGAAAGGCCGCTGGTAGGAGACAGAGGCCGCGCTGTCTGCAGGGGGCGGCGGCGCAGGTGCGGGGGGTGGGCAGGGCTCGGGACCGTGTCCTGCACAAGGACAGGGCTCGAAAGGGGGGCGCGCCGATGGACCAGCGGCGCCCACCTCCCACCCAGCAGCAAAGCCACACTCAGATGAAGGTGCAGACGTGAAAACTCTCTGGAAATGAGGGCGCTTGGACAGAGAGGATCCTCTGTTTTAAGCCAACAGACACATTCACCTAATGGGAAAGATAAAATTGATGAGAAAGCAGAAAAACCCTCTGAAGTACAAATAGCTTTTACAGTCCAGTTGGAAAACAGAAGCTGATCACCCCGTAGAGAAGCAGCTTTTACAGTCCAGCATGAAACGGGAGTAGCCCCGCGGAGAAGGCACTGCGGTGCGAACGGCTCACGGCGTGGCCGCGCCTCCCCGAAGCCTGGCTGTGGCTCCCTGCCCAGGGGGCACTGTGCCCGTGGCCGTGGGGTCCAGCCTCGGCAGGCAAGAGGTCCCATGTTCCGTGCACCAGCCGAGGCGGAGGTCACAGAAACACGGGGCTTCCGGCAGGAGGGCACACGAGACGTCGGAACCGTGTCTTGGGATAGAACCGAGGTTTCTGGGCTGCAAATTTCAATGTTGCTTCACATGCACAAGTTTGGGACTCGTAGTGATTGCAGAGGTTCCATGGAAGAAACGTCGGTGCAACCTAGGGACGTGCCATTCTCCGGCTGTCCCAGAGCAAGGAGCGGGTGGGCAGCTGTGGTTTGTACGCAGCAGGGAGGGCAAGCTGGCAACATGTGGAGGCCCCAAAACGCACAGACCTTTGATGCAGGGTTTTTTCCGGCATCTCCAGGCCGGGGTGTGCGGGCGGAGCTGCAAGGGCTGTGACTGTGAGTGAGGCCTGTCTTCAGGGAGGACAGCTGGGTGACCGGGGGCTTCCAGGGGCTGCGGGAGGGGGAGGGTGGCGCCCAGGGCTCCCCGAGGTGCTGGGCAGAGCGTCAGAGGCGGGGATGCGTCCTGCCTTTCTCTGGGCACCTCCCCCGGGGCTGCAGCCAGGGCCTGGCCCGTCCTCACCTGCCTGCCCTGGTGGGGCCCTTTGCCCTCAGTCAAAATGCAGGTTGCTCATTTTGAAACTAAACTAGTATCCTGAGTTCAATCTTTGCAATTCTGTGATTTCTGTTCACAGCCCCAGGCTGTTGGGTCAGATCTCTGGGGTGGCAGCCCCTGAGCCCGCCACACCCCTCCCGGCTGGGCTGCTGGGCCCACGGCTAGCCCAGGGAGGGCCCAGCTTTCCCTTCTCTGTGTGACTGACCATTTAGTAATTGCCTTAGGGCACACACAGGTGCATCTTGCCGTGTGCTTTCTTTCCTCTTCATTTTTAGAGCGGGGGAGGGCGGGAGGGAGAGAGAGAAGCATCAGCATGTGAGAGAAACATCAAGTGGTTGGCCCTCACGTGCGCCCCGAGAAACCCCTTAAGTGTAGGTGTGGGAAACTAGAATGTTTCCTTTGTTTGAGTGACAGTGAACTGTGCTTCATGTTTATTTTCTGCTGTGATTTAGTGTCTTCTGCTGTTCAGCTGTAAATCCTTGCAGGAGAGTCTAATAAGCACAGTTAATTGTGCAGGAAGCAATAGTACTGAAATACTGCCCAGCACTACAGCATGTGTCTTTTTAAAAATAAAATGCCAGCTTCAGTTTTTTAGATGCCTTATTCTATAAATAGCATAAGTAGAATTAAACCCCATCATATGGCTGACTTGCTGTTTTTGGCTTCTCTCCATTTTTTAAGTGTGGTTTGGCTGTTGTATGTGTGGCATTTTCTCTTTTCCCTGCAAAATCATGACCTTGAAGTGCTTTAGTTACATTGCAAGCCCGTTTTAACAAATGGCTTTATTGCAAGTCAGGAGAAGTAGGAGAAAGTAAAATTATGACCCAAGACCCCACCACAGGAATGGCCACTTTTGCCACCGGGGGTTGTCCTCGGTGGCGTGGGGAAAGCTGTGGTGAGCCCGGTGAGCGGCGAGGGAGACCAGCCCACGCCTGCAGGACGCGGACACCCCCTCGTGCAGGGCTGCGGCCGGGTGGGCGGGAGCCCTCATCCTCACTGGAGCGAGAACTAAGTCCCACCGGAACTGAACACACGAACCTTGCGATCAAAACTCATGGTGACGTGATTGCAGATAAAGTTTCTTCCGTATCAAGAATTCCGTTCTAAATGTTAGGAGAACATTAAAGAAAAGAGGTCAAAATTGTAGGTGTTTTTTTTTCAACCCTACTTTTTATCGTGGGCTTCAGCTGTGAGGCCAGAGGGAGCCCAGGGCTCAGTAAAGCAGCTCCCTCGCAGCTCCCCGAACGCCTGTGCTTCGCAGTGAGGCCGCGTCGCCGTGTGAGCACGCGTCCTAGTAACAGCGCGTCCGGCCACAGCCGGCCCGGCCCTCGGCCCCCAGCGGTGCGTCTGTGTCCCGGGGCGGGGAGCCCCTCCACCACAGCTCCGCCTTTGTCTCGGCTCTTGATCCCGTTTGCCTCGGGGGTTCGAGCCTCGTGAGCGAGTACCTTCCAGCAAAGCTCTGTTTCCTGCCCTCGAGCACGGGAGGGGTGCCTGCCTCCCGCCGGCAGCAGGTGTGGAAAGGAGAGCTCGCTTGGCGGGAGGGCCACGGGGAGCACATTCGTTCCTCGCGACCTTTGCAGACCAGAGCCCGGCGCGGCTCTTCCCGGCACGGGGACGCCAGGGCCGGCCGGCTTTCGCCCCGACTGGTCTGTTCACTGGAGGTTTCTGGTCATTGCTCTCGGGCGCTCTCTGCTGTGACGGGGTGTTTCGAAGCGTCTGTCGCCTCTGACATGTGCGCGGTGTGGCCGAGAGTGGCTCGCGGAGCCACACGGGCCTGGCACTGTGGGGCGTCCTGGGTGTCTCGGGGTGAAGGCCACTGTGACGGGCGGGTCAGCTCCCGCTCCCCATCCTCGCCCCGCAGGCGGCGGCCGCTTCCCTGACACCTGAGCTTTCCTCCTCCCCACCTCGGCTCAGCCACTGGCCGCCGGCCCTCCCGAGCGCCCCTGGGCCGCGGTGCCCGCCGCACCATCTGGCCTCCCTTCCCGGAGACGTCTGGAGACGAAACCAGCACTGCCGGTCAGCTTCTCTGCCGGGCAGACCGAGCCCCTCCCTGGCCGCCCCTGCTTCCAGCCTGCCGTTTCTGTGTTGGTCTGTTCTTGGCACCCAGCGAGCCGGCTTCTGTCGTCTCCGGGCGGGGGCCAGGGGCGGGGGGCAGGGGCAGAGCGGTGCTGCGAGGGTGCGGTGTGGGCCCTGCTGGTTTGCGGCCCCAGAGCCGGGTCAGCCGGCCACCCCCACGAGGTCCAGGGAAACGCCCCCTCTAGCCCCGGTCAGAAATGTGGGGTGCAGGGTGCACTGCCCGCTGTCGGGGCGCAGCGTGGGGTGCAGAGGGGCCGGGTCTCAGGCCTCGGGTCTCCCGCCGCTTACACGCACAGCCGCCCGGCCGCACGGACAGCCTCCCCCGGACGTCTGCACCTCCCTGACGGCCACGGACATGGCGCTCGGGTGTTTTGGGGGGGGGGGGGCGTGCGGACAGGCCCTTGGAGCCGCTGCCCTTGGGGCCGCTGCGGTGGCCTGGTCAGTGTTGGTGTGGTCAGGTCCTGCCAGGCCCTGGCTGCGCGGTCCCCGTGGTCACCTCCTGGCCTGAGGCAGGAGGCAGGGCCCACGCTCCGCTGTCCCCTGGGGGCCCACGGTCGGTGTGAAGCTTCCACTGTCGGTAACAAGTTCACTCTACAGTGAACTAACGGAAAGTCAAAGTGAAGTTCCTCACTTAGGAGCGCCTTCTGCCCGCCCGCCCTCCAGTGAAGGGAAGGGTCAGCCCCCGGAGTCAGACCCGGTCGCTCTCCTGCACCAGGGTCAGGGGTCAAACTTCTTGATCAGGCTGTTTAGTGTTGCGTGACATCGCTAGTTTGAATGCCGCCCCCCCCACACACACATGCACCCAAAGATGGGTGAGTGTGCAGGACTTCCAGGGTTAAACCCGGGGCTGCCGTCCGCCGGCTGTTCCCACGTAGGGGCCGTGGTGCGTCGCCGTTTGTGCTGGCGGAGCCCGAGGCGGCCTCCCGAGCGAGGCGCCACACATCCACTGGCGGGGCCCCGGGGGCTGCAGGGCACGCAGGTGGTTGGAAGGGCGGCCCCAGCACGAGTGTGTCCTGAGAAAGTAGGGGCCTGGGGGATGGGGAGCCAGGGGCCCCCCAGGGGCACCAGCCGGGGGAGCGGTGCCGTCCAGGCAGCCACGCGGGCAGAGGCGGCGGTGCTGCCGGGGAGGGTCCCTGGTCCTTGTCACCGTTCCGATGTGGGGAGGGCGTGGTTGGCCGTGTCTGGGGGCTTCGGTCTCTTGCCCGGGCTGTGCGTCTGGACGTGGCCTGGCCCTTCCAGACACGTGCCGTGGCGCAGCCTGCTGGGCGCCTGGAGCACGTGGAGACAGCGCTGCCCTGGGGGGTGCCCCCGCTGTGCTGCGTGAGCCCTCGCGGCCAGCCCGCCCCACGCCGCACTCACCCCACGCTCGTGCTCCGCAGCGGCAGTGGCAGCCATGTACTACAGCTACTACATGCTCCCGGACGGCACCTACTGCCTGGCGCCCCCACCCCCGGGGGTGGACGTGGCCACCTACTACAGCACCCTGCCGGCCACAGTGGCCGTGTCCAGCACCACCGGAGTGACAGCCACCGCCCCGCCCCCTCCCGGGACCACGCCGCCGCCGCCCCAAACCACTGCGGAGACGAGTAGTGGGGCGACCTCCACCACCATCACCACAAGGTACCTGCCTGCTCCTGCGGCTCCCTGGTGCACCTGTGCTCTTGCGGTGGGGGAGGGGGGCGGGGGGCGGTCTCTGTTCCCTGAGTATGTATTCATTATCTCATCCCCAAGCTACTGAGTTGACAGGGCAGCAAAAATTGTCCCGGCGCTCCGCAGTGAGGCGTGAGCACTTAGAGGATGGGTCCTGGGCAGCACCCCTAGCACCCCTCGTCCCAGACCTGTCTTCGCCACATGCAGGGCGGCTCCGCACAGCTGACAGGGGCACCTCTCCTGGCCGCCGGCCGCTGAGTGGAGGGGCTGTGACCGGACCCCAGCACCTGCCACTGCCCCGGCAGCCGCCCCCGAGCGCCCCCAGCCCACCCGGCCCTGGGCCCTCTGCGCGGCGCTGGGCTGTCGGGCCCGTAGGACAGCAGGCCACCTGTGTCGGCCCCGCCGCCCAGTCCGTGGGGGGCCGAGCCGTGCCAGCCGGCCTGTGCTTCTCCAACCGGCGGACACCGGCCTGCGAGCTCCTCCATGGCTTCGGAGCGCCGGCTCGTCCTGAGGGCGATGGCGGAGACGGGGCGCGGTGGCGCAGTGCGTCGGTGCCCCGTTCACACCGGCCGTGGGGTCCCGGCCCCTGCTGTGAGTGGCGTGACTCCCGTCAGTGGGCCGGCCACCCCGGTGGTCAGCGCCCCACGTGCGGCCTGGGACTCGGCGCTTCAGGGAGGGGCTCCCCGTGACCGAGGCCGCCTCTCCCCGCAGTGCTCTCGCCCCCGTGGCCGCCATCATCCCCCCGCCCCCCGACGTCCAGCCTGTGATCGACAAGCTGGCTGAGTACGTGGCCCGGAACGGCCTCAAGTTCGAGACCAGTGTCCGCGCCAAGAACGACCAGAGGTGCGTGCAGGGCCTGGGGCCGCGTGCGGGTGGGCGCGGCCTGTGACTCGTCACCTCGCTGCTCGCACCAGTCTCTTTCTGTTTGTTTACTTCTTTTCCTTTTACGGGAAAACAGTTTTCCCAAAAGGCTCGGACTTTTCAGGAACCTGTACAGAAATTTAGACACACGGCTGGGTTTCTGTTCTTGCTTTTGATCAGACGACGTTTCTTGGGGGGCGGTGAGACAACGTGGGGCTGGTAGCATGAGGGGACTCGGGGTGCCCCCTCGTCCGAGCTGGGCAGGGCGTCCGCGTGGCTGCCACCCAGTCGCAGGGGTCACTGGGACAGTGTAACGTGTGCAGCACGGCGTCTGGCTGTCCGCAGGTGCACTGTCGCCACAGCCGGTGCGGCCGCCGGTGCCGAGTGCGTCTGTGGCTGACCCAGCTGTTCCCTCCCGGTCGGCAGGTTCGAGTTCCTGCAGCCCTGGCACCAGTACAACGCTTACTACGAGTTCAAGAAGCAGTTCTTCCTGCAGAAGGAAGGGGGCGACGGCGCGCAGGTACGGGTCTGTCTGGGCCTTGGGGCCATGGGGCGGGGGTGGCTTTCGGGTGCGGAGAGAAGGCTTCTTCTCCGGGCTCAGGGAGGCACCGGCGGGCTCAGGCCCTCCTCAGGCGTGATGTCCGCGAGCCTGTGCTGTCTCTGACTGGTCCCGCCTCTCTCGGCTGGAGCTCCCACCCACATTCCCAGTCCACTGGCGACCAGCCATTCGTCCAGCACGTCCCAAGAAGCATCGATGGTTTGGGTGGGCTGCTTTTCACGCACTTGAATGGAGGCTGGGTCCTGTCCTGCGCAGTGGCAGAGCTGGGACGTGCCAGCTCGCACGCCCACAGCCCCCCCCACACTCCCCCGCACGTGGCTCTCGCCTGCCCACGGGAAGCCCCTCTTCCCACCCTGGTCCCCCTTCCTGCTGCCCCTGCTCTGCAGACGCCCTGGCACGGCCGCCTGCCCGCAGGGGCAGAGAGAGCAGGAGCCGGCCTCGCCCTCGGGGGGACGGCCTCACGTCCACCCCTGGCGGCTGCGGTGGAAGCACCCTGACCCGGCCATGGGCGCTGGGCCTCGTTCTCACTCCACAAGGGTCCCCAGGCCCTCGTCCCCCGGGGAGGGGTGGCCAGCCTGGCCCCACGACGCTGCGGAGCTCCAGGGGGTGTGCGTGCCCCCAGGGGCAGCTCCGACCACAGCCATCCCCGCTCCGCCGCCCCACAGCCCCAGACGGGGGTGGGCAGCGCGTTCCTCGCTGCTGCGAGGGCGGCGGCCTGCGAGGGCAGGTGTCCGGGGCAGGTCTGTGTGACCGGGGCGGGTGTCCTCTCCTGAGGCGCGGTGTCTGGTCACGTTCACGTCCACAGGCTGCGTCCGCGTCGGAAGAGGCTCCGGTGGAGCCGGCCCCCGAGAAGCCGAGCGACCTGGGGGAGGACGGGGCGGCCGAGGACCCGGCCGAGGCGGGGGGCAGAGGCGGCGCGGCGGGGAAGAAGGAGGCCGCATCCAGTAAAGCCGCTGCGGACGGGAAGCTCGTGAAAGGTATGCCGGGCCGGCCTCCGGGTGTGCCCCGTGCTGGCAGGAAGGGGCCCGGGGGGGGGGGAGGTGCCCGCTGCAGCCGGCGCGACGCACCCCCACCGGAGGCTGTGCTGACACGGGCGCTGGGCCGCCGGTGGACACCTGGCCCCAGGCCACCTGACGGCATGGTGGGCGCACGCCCCGCCACCAGCGTGGGCTCTGGTCAGGGCTGCTTCTCGGGGCACCGTGGCCGAAGGGCCTCACGGCCCCGCCTGCCCCCCCAGCCTCGTTCGCGCCGATCAGCTTCGCGATCAGGGCCAAGGAGAACGACCTCCTCCCACTGGAGAGGCACCGGGTGAAGCTGGACGACGACAGCGACGACGACGGCGACGCGCCAGGCGCCGAGGGCCAGGAGAGCGCCTGCGCGGCGGCCGGCGCCGACCCGGTGGCGGCCCCGCCCTGCGCAGGCGTCGAGGAGAGGCGGGCCCCGCTCACCCAGGAGGAGCTGGAAGCCAAGCAAGGTCTGTGCGGCTGGGCCCCTGAGACCAGCCGGGCGGTGCGGGCGCGGAGGCGGGGCCTCTGCGCGCGGGTTTTTCTTCCTGGCAGTGGGGCCGCTGCCCTTCCTGTGGCCGCCCGCACAGCAGGCCGGGCGCCCCTGGTAAAGGCCGCCATTCGGCCGCAGGCGCCTGGCTGCCAGGACCTCGTGCTGAGCTGCTCGTGACCCGTGTCAGCTCTGCGCTGTGTGGGGCCGAGGGGTGTCCCAGAGTGTCTGCCACCCACTAGGGCTGTGCGCGCGCCTGTCCCCAGAGCCGTCCGGCTCCCGCTGTCCCCGCCGTGGCGGCTGCCCACCGTCGGACGTGGGCCTGACAGTGGGAGGTGGGAAAGCCGCTGGCGAGCGCCGTGAGCGGCTTCTCTCAGGGTTCAACTTGTTGCTGGGTTCACTCGCCCGCCCTGAACCTGTGGGCCGGGGGCCTTTCACAATCGCCGCCGCGGTCCGGGGCCCCCCGAGGACGCCCGCCCTGAACGCCGTGCATGCGCTGTTTCCCTCCAGCGAAGCAGAAGCTGGAGGACCGGCTGGCCGCCGCCGCCAGGGAGAAGCTGGCCCAGGCGTCCAAGGAGTCCAAGGAGAAGCAGCTGCAAGCGGAGCGGAAGAGGAAGGCCGCCCTGTTCCTGCAGACCTTGAGGCAGCCCCTGCCGGAGGCCGAGGGCGGGAAGGTCGAGGAGGGCCCCTTCAGCGCGGAGGTGAGCCCGGGGTCTGCATCGTCTGTGAGGGAGCTCGGCCTCGCCGGGAGCGCAGACTGCTGGCCGTGCGGCCCCCCAGCCTCCGCGGGGCCCCGCCCCTGGTGGCTGCTGTCGCTGTCCCTGAGCGGCTGGGCTGGGGGGCCTGGCGCTCGCGCCTTTTGAGACGCGGCCTCTGAGCCGCCGGCTGGGGGCTCTGTCATCGGCACAGCACCTGCCACTGAGCACCCCGTCACGGCAGAGTCTCGCACAGGGGCAGGGTCTGCTCGTCAGAGGGGCCCCTTCCTTCCGGCCCCTTCCTGAGCCGCGAGGCCAGGACTGAGCCCCTCCCGTGGGGTTGGCGTGCCCGCCCTGTCAGAACACTGGGACACGGCTGCAGGCCGCCCGCCTGCACCCCTGCCCTGCACGCTCCCCGCTGCGGCCGTGCTGGCGTCTGAGCCTCAGGCCCCCCCTCGGCCCCAACCGGGGCTGCACCTGGCCTCCCGGTTGGTCGGTCGGTCGGCTGGTTTCCCGTGGAGAGCAGCCTTCTGGGCTTGCGCGCTCAGCACCCTGGGGAAGGCCCTGTCGGCTCGCCCGCCCGGAGCCTCTCAGAAATCAGAGTGGCTGTGCCGTCCCCGGGAACGGCTGGCACCGCGCCTGCCCGGGGCGCCTCCTGGCTGGGTCGCCGCCACGCCGCCGGAGCAGTGGACGCGAGGGAGGGCACCTGCGGACGTCTGCCGGCTCTGGGCTGGTGACAAGCAGCCCCCGGGACCGCTCACACCCCTGGCACAGCGGAGAGAAGGGCTTCCGGCGGGGGGGCGGGGGTACAGTCTAAACCACGCCCGTCTTCACGGCTGCAGCGGCAGGGTCACGTCGCAGCCGTGGCGGGAGCCGGGGAGGGTGCTGCTGCGGTTCTGGGTGGGGGGGCTTGCTTGAAAGGCACCGGCGTCTGCAGAGGCTGCACCCGGCTGCGCTGCGGCCCCTGTGTTTCCCAGTGTGACTGTGAGGCCACGAGCACTCGGTCCCGGCCAGGGTCCCCCGCCGTCAGCCCTGAGCTCCCCGCAAGCACGACAGGCAGCTCTCCCTGGCGCCTGTGTGGGCGGCGCCTCTGCCTTTCTCGCCCTCGAGCGCCCGCGTGGGGCCTGGGAAGTGGCGGCGTGGCCGTGGGCACTCCCCGTGGGAGCCCCTGGGCTGACCCTGCTGGGGGCCTGGGGGAGCGGCTGTCGCCCTCAGACGGTCCCAGCAGGGGAGGGGTGCGCTGCCAGAGGGTGACAGGCGACTCCGATGGCTTAGAGACGGACGCCCTTGGATGAAGTCGGCGGTCGTCGCGAATGGGGTTCGGACTCGACAACACTTCCCGCCTGAAGCAGCTGCCAAGGCAGCAGGACACCCTGAGCCCTCTGCAGAGTGGCCGGGCACGGGCTCGCCGGCCCTGGCGTGCGGGGCGGAGCTCAGCCTGGAGCCGAGGAGGCTGGGGGTGCGCGGCCCCGGGGGAGCTGCCCGTGTCTGGGGCGTGTGCGCGCCCTCCGTCGGGGTCTGGTGCCGCGCCCTTCGAGTCACCGTGCACAGAGCAGCGACCTCAGGACAGTTGTGGGCGACGGGGGTTTTCTCCCGCCAACAGCCCCGGCTGGTGTGTCTCGGTGGGCTGAGCCCCAGACTGGGAACCAGAGGGTCCCTGGTTCCATTCCCAGTCAGGGCACAGGCCTGGGTTGTGGGCCAGGTCCCCAGTAGGGGGCGCGTGAGAGGCAACCCCACGTGGATGTTTCTCTCCCTCTCTCCTTCCCTTTTTCTCTCTGTGAAAAACTAAGTAAACGAGTACTCTTTCAAGAAGTGATTTAAAAAACGGGTGTGAGACCCGTGGTAGCGTGTGTTTGTCGAGCCTGTTGCCCACCCAGTGACCATGAAGTCACGTCTGTGCGGCTGGCAGTGCCCATGAACGCGTCCACTTTGATGGCTGCGGGCACAGAACCGCTCTGACTCAGGGAGAGGTGGGGTCAGCCCGGGCTTCCCAGGGACGGGTCGGCCTGTGGTCCGCAGGCCCCTCCCTTGGGGAGAAGGACTGGTGGAGGCCTAGGCCTGGATGAGGCCTGAGGGGCCACCGTAGTCCGGAGAGGTGACAGACGCCTGCCCCCCGAGGTGGCCCGACGAGCCGGCGGGGGCACGTGAGGACAGCAGAGCCGCAGGGCCGGGGCACGGGCGTGGCAGAGCCTGGCCTGTGGGGGGAGAGGGGCCCCGCCCGTGGGCCGGCCTGCAGGGTAGGGCGCAGTCCCCCAGGCGGGGTGCCCCTCCACCCCACCTGAGGTCGCAGCGGTGGGCCCCTCCCGGACAGCGGGGAGGACCACCTTCCGTGCGTCTGCGGCTCACGAGAGGCCGCGTCCATGTGTGGTCGCCCGGATCCTAGTGAGTGTGGCACCGCCCCACGAGCGAGGTTTGAGCGGCACTTTCGGCGGCCTGCTCCCGAGCCGCTCGCTCTCCCACCGCAGGAAACAGGCGTTGCTGGCGTGTGCTGGCGCCCAGTCACGACGATCAGGGGCCGACGGGGCCACCTCCCGGTGTTACTGGGGGGCGCACTTTCGAGGGTTTTCGTACGTGAGTCCGTTCTCAGAAGCTCAGAAGCTCCCTTCACTTCTCTGGAACACTCTGGGAGCCGGCCTGGGTCCCCTCCCCGGGACGGGACGCCTCCTGCCTCCGTCCCTGCTGCCGGGACGCGACCGCCCCTCCCCGAGGTGCTGCGCCACCTGCCGCCCAGCGGGGAAGGCGGGTCTTCTGAGGCGGGGTGAGCGGGCCTGCGCCCTCTGACCCCTGCCACAGGCAGGGCGGCGGTCCACAGCCCAGGGGAGCCTGCTTCCTGCAGGCTGTCCCTAAAACCTGCCCCCAGGGCGGACAGACACCCACCGAGACCGCCTGCCGGGGCTCGAGGGCCCTCCTCTCCTTTCCGGGGGGGCGGGGAGGGGCGGGGGGGGCGGAGGCCGCAGAGGAGCTCGCCCCGTCCGGCCGCGGCAGCTGGAGTGGGTGGGGAGGGGGTCCTCCCTCGGGGGGCTCGGGCCACGGGTCACCTCCATGCCGTGCGCAGTGGCGCGGCCCCCCGTGAGGGCCCCGCTGGCGGAGCCCCGGGAGTGGGCGGTGTTAAGGGCCACCTTTTCCCCATTGACACCCAGACGTCTGCTTCGGTCCCCAGGAAGCCAGCCCTGCAGCCTGCCCGCTGCTGAGCGGGGGCCGGCCTCTGCCGGCCGCGGACACCAAGCCCCCCGAAGGGCCCTCCAGCAGGAGCAGAGAGCCCCCCAGGGAGGCGGAGAGGGAGAGGAAGAAGAAGAAGCACAAGAAGCGGTCCCGGACGCGCTCGCGCTCCCCCCGGCGCCACTCCTCCTCCAAGCCCCGGTCCCGGTCCCACTCGAAGGCGAAGCACTGCCTGCCCAGCGCCTACCGGACCGCCCGGCGCTCCCGGTGGGTGTGCCGGCCGTCTGCCGGGGCGGGGCGGCCTGCGGCCCGACTTGGGGGGGGGGGAGCTCCCGGGATGATTTTCTGTGTTTGCTCACCTCTGGACCTCGTGGGCTGCCGCCCGGTGTCTGAGAACCAGGTGGTTTGTTTAGGCTCTGGCTGGCCTTGGAGGGCGCCGCCGCAGTGCGCGTGCGGAACGCTGAGGGGGGGGGCCGGGGCCGGGGCCGGGGCTGTGAGGAGCGGACCCCCCCCACCCCCCGCCTGTGTGACGCGGGGCAGCGGAGGGCTCTGCCGCGGCCACGTCCCGCCCCCCTGCCCACTGTGCTCATGGGGAGCAGCGGGGAGGCCACGGGGTGGCTCCTCTTTCCCGGCAGCAGCTCGCCTCCAGACCCCCCGCCGCCGGGGGCCGCCATGTGCCCCGACGCCGCCCGGTCCGGGAGCCGGCCTGGCCTGTCCAGCCCCCGCAGGTCTGCCCACGAGAGCCTGTGAGGGTCACAGAGTGCCCTTCTCGGGAAAGCGGTTTTGCGGCTGTGGCTGCTGCTGCGGCTGCTGCTCGAGGTGGCTGGCCTGCACGAGGCTCGGAGAGCGGGTTTCTGGCTGGAGCACTCGGGTTGCCAGTGGACGGCCCTCCCGAGCTGCCCTGGGCGCAGGGGCTCTGGCCGCGCTCTCCCCCCACGGGGGCGGGGGGGGGGCGTTGAGACACTGTGGGGACGCGCCTGCCGCCCGCGGAGTCACCCCGACATGCGCGGGCAACGTGGGGGCGCGCCTCGGGGGGAGGCGTGCGGCTCCCGGCTCCTCTTCCCTGTGGTGAACCGCATGGCGACCCAGCGAAGGGGCCGGCGCGCCCTCCCCCCGTCCCGCCGCTCACCGGAGGGACCGGGGCTTGTGCCCATCCCACAGGGGGACGGCCCCGTTCTCTGAGAGCCCAGCGGGCCCTCGGGACTTGGACGGCGACCGAGCAGGGTCCTCCTGGGGTTCGAGCCGGCCGGTGCCGGGCCCTCGGGCTGGTCCCTCTCAGGAAAAACACCTGAGTTCCACGATGCCTGAATGTTCTCCGCTGCAATTCAGGTGATTTCGGCTTCTCTGTAAGAGGGCCTCTGGCCGGGGCGCCCAGGCGGTGTGCTCACCCCGTGGGGTCCCCGTTCTCCCCTGTGTCCAGGCGGCCGCTGGGGGCCGGGCCTGCGGCGAGAGCCGTGGAGCTGCCCGCTCACCGAGAGCCCGCGTGAGCGCCGGTGCGGCTTTCTGCCCCAGGACCGCGTGGGGGCCTTCTCCCGGATGACTCGGAGTCTGGCAACAGCCACTTCACTTCCTTTCCGTTTTTGTTTTTATTTTTAAAGGATACGTTCATTGACCTTCTCTGGGGTGGGGGGCGGAGAGAGAAACATCGACGTGTGAAAAATCAACAGCTGCCTCCCTTGTGCGCTGACAGGGTCGGACTTGCGACCCGAGTACAAGCCCTGATGGGAGTCGAACCCTCGACCTCCTGGTTGCGGGCGGCGCCCCAGCCACCGAGCCTTCCCGTGGCTGGGCTTAGACCGTGGACCCTGCCCGGCAGCCGTCCGAAGCCCGAGGGGCCCGCTGTCTCCTGAAGGCTGCTGACGCGGGCGGCTGGGGTCTCGGAGAACGGGGACCAGCCGGCCGCCGCGGTGCGGGGACCGTCCCCTGCGGGACCGGCACAAGCCCTGGCCCGGGCCAGCCGCCTCACCGCAGAGAAGCCCCCGGCCACTGCGACGGCGCGGTGTCGTCGCGCTGGTCAGCGCGCGGGGCCTCTGTGTGGGGGCGCCGCGGGGGCTGTCGGGCTGGCCGACGGGCGTCACAGCCCCCGCCTCCCAGGGACACTGAGCACGGCCGGCCCCAGCTGCCGCCGCAGGGCAGGGCAGGGACCGGCGGCCGTGCCCTCGAGCAGCTGGACTCCGGGTGCCCTTCCGAGGGAACCCTGGGAACACGTCCTGTTACGTGAATCCCGGGGAGAGGCCGAAACCGCTCCGCAGCTGACGCGGCCGCGCCCTCGCCCTCGCCCCGCTGGGCGGTCGGGTCGTCCGGAGGGGCCGGGCCGGGGCTTCCTCAGGAACGACCTCAGAGCGGCAAACAGTGGTGTGCTGTGTCAGGGCCCATTGTAATTAGAATGCGAGGTAGGCTCTTCTAAATGGCAAGATCAAACTGCTCTTCTTTATTGTTTTTTAGTGGGTCGTCATGGAAACAGAACAAAAAGAAACTAGGTTTTTTCTCAGATTTCTGCTCATTGCAGGTCTCTCCAAAACAGTAATTTCGCAGAATGAACAAAACTGAGGATCCTGAACCCACCACTAAAGGACCCTCCTCGAAGGACCTCGGCCCCCAGGGAGGGTCCCCGGAGGGGGTGGCGGTGCGGGCGGCCGCGTGGGCCTGGCGGCCGCGTGGGCAGCACCCCACTGTGGGGGCTGCAAGTCTTCCCCAGGCCCGTGGACGGAAGGGTGACACATCAACGCAGGGCTCTGCGCCTGAGAAACGCTGTCAGCTTGGGTTGTGCAGCCTGAGCCCCCGGGGGGTGCGGGTCTGCGCGGGCAGGGGCGAGCGGCTGGCGCTGGGCTGCTCGGGCGCAGAGGCCCCCTCCGCCTCGTCACATTCCACTGTCTTGTGTGGACTCACTGTGCCCGCCCCCACCCCGCTTCCCTGACTCGGCCAGAGTGGCCGTGAGCAGAGGCTCGTGGGGTCTGGGCAGAGGCAGGACGGGGCAGCGGGGGCTCTGCCACACGGCCGCGAGTGCCCGGGAGGACAGACGGGCGCGCCGCCCCCACACCAGCCTGGGGGCCCCTTGCTGCCCCCCCATAGGTGGCCACCCTGCCAGCCAGCTGGATTCAGCCACCGTGTCCCCCGCCCAGGTCCCGGTCCCGGTCCCCCCGGCGAAGAGCCCACTCTCCCGAGAGGCGCAGGGAGGAAAGAAGCGTCCCCACCGCCTACCGGGTGAGCAACAGCCCCGGCGCCAGCAGGAAGCGCACCCGGTCCAGGTAGGCGTCGGCGCCCTCCAGCGCTGTCCGTCGGGGGCTGGGCGTGGGCCCCCGCTTCCCGCACTGGCTGAGGGTCCCCGGGGAGCCGGAGCTGGGGTGCACGCCAGGTCCCTGAGCGGCTCTTCTCCGCTGCGGGACACGGAGCCAGGGCCGGGGCCCCCACATCCGTCCCCAAGTCCAGCTGCCCCTCAGGACCTCACCGCCTGCCCTCACCTGCGGGCCGGGAGGGACAGTGGTGAGGAATGTCGGGGGTTGGAGCCTCAAAGGAGACCCCAGCAGGGACCGACCGGGCCCTGACCCCCAGGGGAGACCTGTCCCCGTGGAGGAGAGCGCGAGCGGCCAGCTCCCTCGCCTGTTGAGGGGAAGCCTCAGCCGCTGTGCCCGGTCCGGGCCCCCGACCCCGGCAGGCAGGGCCGCCGTCTCGCCAGGGGCCTGGGAGCTGGACTCCGCGGCACCGAGGGCCGGCCGTGCGCAGGGGGGGCCCGGGCACCGCCGCTGACTCGACAGGACACCGGGGCCTCTCCGGGCCCTCGGGACCCGGGCCGAGGGGTGGGCGGCGGGCGCCGGTGGGCCGGGTCTCGGCGTCTCCTGCGCAGCCAAGGGCTCCAGGAACCGTGCTGCGGGCTGTGAGCCAGGACACTCGGTTCCAGAACCTTCCGGAGGGCAGGTCCCCAGTTTCCAGGGTGACTGTCGGTCGCGGGCCCCCCCCTCGCCCTCACGGGAGCCGTCCTGGAGGCCACGTCCACGGAGGGCGCTCCCGACGCCCGGCTGGTTCCGGGGGTCCCGCTGACGGGTGAAGCGTCGTCGTTTTTAAGTCCACTTTCAGTCTCGTTCCCAGATCAGGTCGTGGCTGAACACAGAAGTTCATCGTGTTCTTGGGTCTGTGTAGAGGGCCTGGTCCGAAATTACCGCCTGGTAGCCAAAGGCGTCTCGTAGCAGAACAGCCCTTCCCCCCCAAGCTGAAGGAGCTACTGAGGGGGTGGGGCTGTCGTCGGGCGTCCTCGGGACCCCGCGCTCTGCAGCCGTGGAGGGCCAGGCGGGCCGTGCTGCCTGCCGCGGGCACCGGCGTGTCTGGTGCTCCCGGTCCCAAACCACGGTCGTCTGTGAGGCCAGAAGACGTCCCGTCAGCAGCCAGACCCCCCCGGACCCCCCGGACCCCTGCTCGCCTGGCGTGGCTCCCGGCGGAGGTGGCAGCCGGTGGGGGCTCACCTGCCCAGTCGGGGTCGGGGTCACCCAGCCCGGGGGCTGTGCCTCCTGCCAGCCTCGAGGGTGATCTCTGCAAGCTGATCCTGGAGAGCCACTCTCGCCGGCCTCTCACTGTGAAACCTCCGTGACTTCCTGGCGCGTCTGGAACTCCGTATTTACAAATGGTGCAGCGAGCACCTGGGTGCGCTGGCCTGCTCTCCCCCGCCCCCTTCCTCCCGCGCCTGTGCGCTGGTGCCCCCGCAGGTCCAGGCCGCCGCGCTCGGGGCCCCGCGGTCTGGGTTTGTCCTGTGTCCTCCAGGCTGGGTCCCCGTCGACTGTCTCGGCGAGAGGAGGGCCGGGTGGTGCGTGACTCCCCCCGGGTCGGTCGCCCAGGAAGCACAGTGTCCGCCTGTCCCCTCGCTCAGTCCAGGCTGCGCCTCCCCCTCTGAACGGGGGAGGCAACGGGGTGGGGGGAGCGCGCCACGCATGTGCTGTGCCAGCAGCTGCTGCTCGTGGGGGTGCGTGTCCCCATGGCTCTCCTGCCACCGTCCTCCCTTCTCCCGAGAGGACCCTCCTTTGTTCGAGCACCAGTGCTGGCTCCGGCCTCGGGGGCGGGTTCTGTTGGTCGTGCAGGAATCCGTCGCTGCTGTCGCTGTGTTTGTAGGTGACGCCATCTCGGGCCGGCCCACCTGGTTGCTCTGGGCCCAGCGGGAGGCCCAGGCGCAGCGGGCCCAGCCCCAGCCCAGGACCGGCCATTGCCGAGCGTGAGGGAATCAGGTCTGGGCGTGGGGGCGTCTCTCACGAGTGAGGCCCCTCAGACGGGCCCGTCGTACGGCTGCCCCACCGCAGGCCCCTCGTGGCGGGCGGGCGGAGATAGGGCAGCAGGCGGCAGCGTTCACGCTGCCGTGGGGGGCCAGGCGCTCCCGGCACACGGCGGTCGCCGGAGGGGGTGCACCGTGACTCCCCGGAGCAGCCGCTGAGCAGCAGTGGCCGCAGCATGGCCGAGGGCGGAGACGGGAACCCCGCCGGTGCTCGGTCCGGAGGAGGCAGGAGCGGCGCAGAGAAGGAGTGGAGGAGCAGCCGGCGGAGCGGGCGCCCGCCCTGCACGTCGCCACGCCAGGCTCCTGGGGACGCCGGTCCAAGGCAGGGACTGCCGACTGCGCCCGGAGCAAACCGGCCACAGGGCGGTGTGGCCGCCGAGTGCCTGCGCTGGCGCCTCCCGGTGACCGAGGGGCGGTTCCTCCTGTGCCTGCAGACAGGGGCTCGGGCCGAAGCGGACGGGCAGGTGCCGAGAGGGTGCCCGGCACGTCCACCAGCCATGCACCGCAGCCCAGGCGAGAGGCCCCGCGTCTGGGTGCACGGGCCCGACCCCGTGGTGAGGGGAGAAATGCTTGGGATGGACGCCCGGACAGTTCCCAGATACTTGGGGACGGACACTTTAGTTACTTGTAGGTCCGAGAAGAAATCCCGAGAGAAAGTAGAGTGTTTTGAAGTTAACGGGGATGAAAGCGTGGCCCCCCTCGGAGGGGGCGCTGCACACACGAGGAAGCCGGCAGTTGGAATGCCCGTGTCATGGGGGGGTGGCTGCAAGCAACGGCCCACCCTCCCGAGAAGCCGGAGGACGCAGAGCAAATCAAACGCGGCCAGCAGAAGCCGGCAAGTGACACAGACGAAGGTGGGACGCCAGCAGACGTCGATACGAGGGCGTAAACGTCCTTCCGGCTGACGGGACGGCTCGGGGGAGCGGACAGACTGCCGTGAGAACTGCGGACGGACAGCAGCAGAGACGGAGACCTGGGCAGCGCCGTCCGGCAGAGGGCGGTCCGGCAGAGGGGGCAGGGCTCCTCCCGTCTCCACCCCCTCCCTGGCACCCAGGCCCGCTGGCCCTCGTCAGTGGGTCCAGCAGACGCTCGGGCCGGAGGGAGCGCCGGCCGTGGCACTCCGGGAAGACAGTGGGAGGCGAGGGCGGTTCCCCGCGCGCCCGCGAGGCCGTCGGTGTGAGGGGCAGGGGTGGGGGTGCGCACAGACCGGCACCCTCCAGAACACAGACGCAGACTCACAGGGAAACGCCAGCCAGGCTCAGGGCGGCAGCGTGGGGGGGGGGGGGGTCTGTCTCGGGCTGCGAGGCTCGTCCGCTCTCGGGGACCGCCCGTCACGCCTCGCTGCGCCCCCAGAGTGCGTGGGGAGACCCGGCCGCGTCTCCGTGGGTGCAGAGAGCGCGGCCCGATTCGCTGACAAGCGCGAGGGGCAGCTCCTGGCGTCGGGGGCTGGACAGGAACGCCCTCCGTCTGACGCGGGGCCTGTCGGAGAGCCTGCGCTCGCAGGGGCGCGAGCCCTCTGAGTCGGAGACGGGCCGGCGTGTGCTCTGAGGGGGGCTCACGGCGAGGACGGCAGGGGGAGACCGGAAAGGCACCCCAGGGGGTGGGCCCCGCCCAGGAGGCCGAGGTGCAGCACCACTGAACGCGGGGGCCGGCCGGCCCAGGGCACTCAGCTGCCTTGCCCTACCGCCCCCCCCCGCCCCGCCCCCAGCCACAGGAGCTGTGGGGCTTGGGGCCCAGACTGTTGTGGACTGAGTCACGCACCTCCGAGACCCGCGTGCCCTCTCCCTCGAGGCCGCCTCTCGGGGGACGCGCACCCAGACCCGCGCACAGCCTGGGGCTCGGGGCCTGGTCAGAGGTCTGCACCCCTGTGTGTCCACGTCAGGGGCGGTCTCGCCGTTTTCTTCCCGGCCTGAGGCCTGGCCCCCTGCCCCCACCCCCGGCCTCCACTCCTCGGGGACGCCGCTTCCCAGGGCTGCCACCACCCCGGCCGGCCCCTCTCCGCTGGGCCGCGCTGCCCGCCCCTGCCTGGCTGTGCTGGTGTCGGGGGCCTGGGCCGGGGTGCGGGCCCTGCTAGCACCTCAGGGCTGTCCCTGGCGGAGGGTGGCCCGTGGACGTGCACACGGGACGGGGCGTTACCCCGAGGACCGGGGGACGGGGAGGGGCAGTGAGGGCAGCGCTCTGCCCGCAGCCCATGCTCCAGACCACAGGGCGCCGCAGGGCTGGGACGTGGGCAGGGCTGGGTCCCCCCGGGGCAATGGCCCTGTCCTGGGGAAAGGCCCACGCAGAGCCCTGCCTGCAGGAGCCAGGGGGGGCGGCCCAGACGCCGGGGCTCGGAGACGCAGGCTCTGCAGGGAGGCCCAGGCCCCCCCCCCCACGCATCAGGCTGCACTCGGGCAGCGGGTGGTTCGGGGACCTGGGGGTCACCCTGGAGGGTGGCCTCCTGGGGAGAGAACAGCAAGACTGAGAAACACCAGTTAGTCGGTGATGACGTTTTCTGAGTGGGCGGGGGGGCAGCTCCTCAGGGGCAGGGGGTGGGGGTGTCACCTTTCGTGGTCTTCCTGGGGGTGCGGGGGCTCGCGAGCAGGGTGGGCGGCGGCAGACCACGCGGGCCCCAGGGGGCGGGGCGGCGAGCAGCGCCTGCTCGTGTTGGTGCGGGGTCTCAGCCCCTCAGCGCGGGGGCTGGGCAGGTGGTGGGAGCTGCCCGGGCCTTGCTCCCCTCTGGGTGCTGCCGGCCAGCGGTCTGTGGGAGACCCCAGGGCCCTGGAGCCGCCCGGGCCCCGTCCTGAGCCGCTGTCCTTCCAGGAGCCCCCACGAGAAGAAGAAGAAGCGGCGCTCGCGGTCGCGGACCAAGTCCAAGGCCGAGTCCCGGCCGGCGTCCCCCGGCCAGCAGGCCCCGCGCCGGCACTCGGCCCACTCGGCCAGCATCTCCCCCGCGGAGAGTCGGGGCTCCAGCCCGGAGCGCTCCAGGTAAGCCGGCCCCGCCTGGGACAGGCCCCCGACCCACCTCCCCTCGGGCAGCCAGTCCCAGGCTGGTGTCCATCCCCGGACTCTCCTGGGGTCGGAGCCCAGAGGCCGGGCAGGGACGCTCGCCCCCGTGTCCTCGCTGCGCGTCTGGGTGGGGGCAGGCGTGCTGCTGGGCCCACCCTGACGGGACCCAGCCGTCCCCACCCACACGCCGCTCCCTCCCGGCTGCGAAAGGTAGGGCCCAGCCGTCACTTTCGGACCGGACAGGCGGCGGTGACGGCCACGCCTGTGCGGCGGTTGCCTGACTGGCCCGGTCAGCGCTCCGACGCGGGTGCCCCAGCGCAGGGGGGCTGTAGACGGGCTCCCCGGGCCATCGGGGTCGCTCGCTCTCGGTCACGACGTGCTGTGTTTGTGAGCCTCTGAACTCCCTGTCCGCTCTAGGGGCGTCTCTCAGGAAAAAGAAGGTCAGATCTCTTCGGCGATTGTGTCTTCTGTGCAGAGCAAAATCACTCAGGTGAGGCGCGGCGTCCGTGTCTCCTTCCCCCCACCCCCGTAAAGGGTCCTGCCGTGTCCTCACCTTGTCCCCCAGGGTGGCCGTGTGACCCCGGGGTTGCCACTCACGGGCCCAGCCCTGGGAGGGTCGGGAACCCAGCCCCCCCCCCACCGGCCTCTGCCACCGGCACTGTCACGGGTCGCCTCGCGGCGCGGCCGTCTGCCTCCTGTGCCACCATGGAGCTCACGGACGTGCCCCCCGTCTCCCCCCCACCAGGACCTCATGGCCAAAGTCAGGGCGATGCTCGCCGCCTCCAAAAACATGCAGACCAGCGCCTCCTGAGACGCGGCCGTGGGCCTCGCGGGGCCAGCCAGACCCCCGGGCGTCCGTGGCCGCGGCGGCTTTTGTACATTCATTTTCGATGACATTTTCAGTTGAAGATTTTGACCAGCAGTCTCTTACCTGTATATTTGTAAATAATATCATGTTTCTGTGAAAACGTATTATCAAATAAAACGGGAGGAAAACAGCTTTTCTAGACGGCGGCTGGGGCTGGCTTCTTCCTGGTCTCACTCCCGACTGTGTGCGCCCTGTGGCCCGTCCCGGACGCCCACGCGCAGACACTCGGGGCCCCCAGGTGGGTGCCCCCCGGGACCAGGCCGCTGGCGTGGACTGCGTCCCTTGCCATTCAGGAGGTCGTCCGAGTCCGCCTCGGGCGAACCGCCCACTGGCCTGCAAAGGGGGGCTCTGTCCTGCGGGCCCCCCGGCACCCAGCCAGCGGGGACAGTTCGCCCCCCGCTGCGGCACGTCCGGCACCAGAGGCCGCAGGGCCGGTCAGCACGGCGTCACTCCCCCCAGAACCCAGAGCGGGGCGTCTGCTCTCCCTGGAGCCCCTGCCACTGGAGGTCCCCGGGGAGACACAGCCCCACCCCTGGGGCGGGCGTGGGCGTCGGGGCCCTGCCCAGGGCTGCGGGGTGGAGCAGGGGCGGCCGCCAGGCGTCCCTCGGGTGCGTGTGCCGCACACCCACACGCCTGTCCCCACGGCCGTGTCCCCTGTGCCTGGGCGCGTCTCCCGTGTGCGCCTCGGACCCGGTGCCGTGTCGGCGCCGGGTGCCTGCCTCGCCCCTCACGGCCGTCCGCGTTCACGTCACAGGTGCCCCAGCCCAGGTACCCCCCTCCGCCCATTCCGATGCAGCGCTCCCCGGAGAGGGCTCCCGCCCACGAGACGGGCTTGCCCTCTGCGCCCGGAGCTCCCCGCGAGCCCCGAGTTCTCCCTTCTGCAGCACCTCTCTCCCAGCCGGTCGCTGTGCTGCCTTCGCCGACAGTTTCTCTCAGGCCCAGAAACGCCGTTTTTTCTCGTGGCTCCTCGGTCTTGCAGGGCTAGACGCGTGGGAGAGGTGGCGGTCACCGCAGGTGCTCTCTCCCTGGGCGCTGGGCGCCCGGTGGACGCCGGGCACAGGCCTGTGTCCTTGGTCGGGGGGGACGCCGCCTTCGCCGTCTCAGTGAAGACGGAGTACATGCCCCCGTCAGAGAGACTGTCTCCTCGTCATGCGTGTGTGGGCGTTTCACCAGGTCCGTTCCGGTGCCCCGGCGGTGTGCGCGTCAGGAACCATCTGACTCGCGTCTGCAGCCCCAGGCGTGTCGCTCGGAACATGCGCTCTGCCCACCCTCAGACGCCGAGACCCGTCACTCCGCGGGGGGCCCACCCGCCCCGCCAGCTCCTGGGAGCAGACGGGGGAGCTGCCCGGAGGCCCCTTTCCCGGAGAGGGGCCATGTCGGGCCAGACCCGGCGGGGAGTTGCCCCCCCACCCCCCCAGGCTCAGCCGTGAGGGACAAGCGCATCCGAGCGCCCCGGTCGCACGGTGGACGCCACCTTCCCGTGCCCACGTCCGAGTTCCTCGGGCGGGAAGACGCAGCGTCCCCCCCACCCCAGCCCCCCGCCCCGAGCGCAGGGAGCGCAGTGGCCAGTCTGCCGCGCCTGCCCTCGCAGGACGGCCACAGCCGCGCACCAACCAGCTCCTTTGTCCTCCTCATGACGGAGGTTTGCACGTGTCCACGGGTTCTTCGTTCCTCGGACACGAAGTCCTCTCAGCGGAGTTCTGGACTGGCAGGGAAGGTCTCCCATGCCGGCACCAGGTCCTCTCCCGTCCGCTTTCACGCACGTGCCCCCCGCCCCACCACCACGGACTCGTCAGGCCCGGCGGCAGCAGGGCACACAGCTCCCCGGCCTGGGGTCCGATCCACCCCGCCCACGCCCGCGAGAGGGACGAGGGCCCCTGGGAGGGACGGCGGGGTCGGGCGAGCGCCCCGAGGGTCCGGGCAGCGAGGACGTGGGCCGGGGGCAAGCCGCAAGGCCCACGCCGAGGGGGCCCAGGAGCCTGAGGGGGCCCCCAGGGCCAAGGCTGGAGCTCCGAGGAGCAAAGCCGGTCACGCCAAATCGGCGTGAAGCACCCGTGAGCTCACGCTGGCACAACCAAGTGGTTGTGTGAGGGGAGGGAAGGGGGAGAGGGTTCTACCCAGGGTTCCACATCCTGTGGGCGGCCCCTGGGCCCCGGCGGCTGGCGCGCGACCCCCACTCCCGGGATGGGCTGCGCGGTGACTTCTTCTGGAGAGGGCGGCGTGGAAAGGGGGAGACACTCTCTCTGCAGCTGGGAACCCGACAGACACGCCCCTGCCGGGGGGTCAAGGCCACTGCCCACAGTGACGGTCGTGGGGACAGCAGGTCCCTGGACGTGATGGGATGACCCCAGGGTGACCAAAGAGAAAGACATCAGGCATCCCAGCATGGGGGGTGTTGCCGGGGGTGGGGGGGGCACCGACACCACCTGGCCGTGCTCCTGCCAAGGCCAAGGCCATCAGAACGAGGAAGGTCTGAGACGGGGTCAGAGCCACAAGTGGCCCGAGGACACACAGGGCTGGACGGAGAGTGGTGGGCTGTGACCCCCAGGGCCGAGGGAGCGTCTGGTCCTGCCCTCAGGGCAGCGGGACTGGGCCCGGCGGGCGTCCACGCGCACGTGGGTCACATCCAAGGGCCAGGAGCATTGGTCCTCGCGTGCACACTCACCCCACACACACGCACACGGGCACACCCAGGTGCTCATGCGCACAAACCCCACACACGCCCACACATGCTTGCATGTGCACACGTACATACATGCATACTCACACTTGTACCCACATGCTTGCACACGCACACACATATGCTTGTGCACAGGCAGCCCACGAGAGCTGCCGCCTGCATCCCTCTAGCCTGGCCAGCCCGGCCGGCAGAGACCCAGCAGTGCAAGTCGCAGCCCAGGGCCGCCGCTCGTCGGAGGAGGTGGGACTTGGCCCCCCCCACCCCGCCCCGAGCCAAGCGTGTGGCCAGAGAATGAAAAGGAACAGTTCCTGCCCGGGCTCCGTGCCCCGGGGGCTGACAGGGACCAGGGCGGGTTTCCAACGGAAACTGGGGGTGCCGAGGTCAGAGAAAGGGGGTTGGACAGCAGGCATGGCTGGACCCGGGGGCTCGGCGGAGAAGATGTGCATGTTCGCCCGCGTGGGAGCGAGACGCAGGCCGGTGCAGAGCGACCGCCACGCAGGGAGCGCACCGAGGGTTCAGAAAGGTGCCCGTTTCTCCGGGGCACACGGCCGCGGTCCAGGAGACACACGGGGGCAAACCGGGGGCGGCAGGAGGCACCCCAGCCAACACCGCCGTCCATACACACGGCCCTGGTTCAGCCCGGACGGGCGTCCGGATACTCCCGACCTTCCTCACTTTTCCGTCCTGCATCGGCCTTCGTGGGCAAGGGGGGCACGCTCCTCCAGGCTCGCGCCAGCCAGCGGGGCCGGGCCAGGGAACACACTCTCCTTGGATTCTGATCGCCGCCCCCTGGTGGCCTGCGAGCGAGGCTGTGCTGGCCGGTCCTCGCTCCCCAGGCCCCCCGGGCGTGGACGACACGCAGCTTCCGCCGCGCTGCCCATCCGGCGGGAGGAAGGCGGCCTCTCGGAGGGGCTTCGGTTCGGGCCGCATCCCAGCCCCGGGAGCCAGTGGCAGGCTTGAAGGGAACAGAGCGGTGGTGCCCCACGGCTCCCCCCGCCCCCCATGAAGTGACACGTCCCCTGACGCCCTTGGTTCCCACACTGTTCACCAGCCACCATCTGGGGAGAACCCCGGCCCGTACAGGCCCTTCCTGTGGTTGTGACCTGAGGCCACTGTCACAAGCCACCTCTCGTCACTGCCCTTTGGTGTTCGTGCCTGCACGGTGCCTCAGACAGCCCTCAGCCGGGGCTCCCTCTCAGGGTCCTCAGGTGCAGGCAGACTGTTATACAGCGGGGTCGGCCGCTCCACCTGACTCCACTGAGCCCCTTGATCCAGCCCTGCCTGCCACCCACCCCCTCCTCTGATGTCAGCGCCTCCACTTCCCTCAGCAAACCCCTTGCGCCCAGGTCAGTGAGGGCAGTGGGGCTCGCTTCTGTCCCCCAGCCCCGCAGCTGGTTCAGGGACGGATGCACGGCCGATGTTACCGAATGACAGATGATCCCTGGGACTGTGGCTGGAGAACTGCGGCTGGGCTCGAGGGAGTGAGAGGAGGCAGGCGGAGCTGCCCTGTGCCGTCCGTGCTGCCCTTTGGAGACATCTGCCTGAGAAGAAAGCCCACGTGGAGACGGAGAGAGAAACCATATTCTGATCACATCCTTGTGCGACTTGATCCAGCCTCACCTGACGTCGGCATGCTCTGGGATGTTCCAGCGCAAGGAGCCCACGACCACAGCCACACCGAGCTTGGTTTCCGGCAGCAGCAGCCGAGTCGTCCCAATGCACATGAGCAGAATTTGGGGATGTGCCTGTGAAGAGTCACGGGTGCCAGGGTGCCTCGTCCCACGGTCTCCATCCCCCTGAGGCAGGTGCACCCTCTCCGAAAGGGGCCGCCGGAGCTCGGGGAGTAGCAGGTAGGACAGGCAAGGCCAGCCCTTGGGCAGGACGGTGAGGAAGGGCTCTGCCTGGAGCGCAGCCCTCAGCCCCTGGGGCCGTGGATTCAGTCCAAGGGCCTGGGCCTCTGCTTCCCTGTCTGTACGATGGGGCTCCACTCCTGCCACGCCAGCTGTGATGAGGGGCCGCAGGGGGAGAGGGAGCGGCTGCAGCCCCGCCAGGACGGAAACCAGTACTAGGAGAGCGCCTCGTGCGTCTGAACTGCCGACGCCGGCACGACCTGCCTGGAGCCTCTGCATTGTGACCTCCTGCAACTTACTCGGTTTCTCTGGGCCTCAGTTTCCTCCTCTAAAATGGGAACAAAAGTTTTCTTTTTAAATATTTTATTTATTTATTTTTAGAGAGCAGGGAAGAGAGGGAGAGAAATCCATGTGTGGTTTCCTCTTACATGCCCCTCCCCCCAATTGGACCCGGCCTGCAACCCAGGCCTGTGCTCTGACTGGGGATTGAACCCACGACCCTTTGGTTAGCAGCCAGCACTCAGTCCACTGAGCTACACCAGCCAGGGCTAAAACGGGAATAATGGTTTTAATGAGATGTTGGGAGAAGTGAATGAGATTATGTGTGGGAGGCTCTGAGCACGCGCCGGGCACACACGGACTACCAACGAGCCAGCTGTTCCCGCCCCAAACCCACAGCGACCACGGACCGTCCGTCCTGGCTGACCGCACGGGAGACCCGCGCTCCCGACCGTACCCCGCCTCCCCCGAACTTGCACCCCAGCCCACCCCTCCCGCGGCCCCAGCCCCGACCCTTCACCCCCTCCCACTGCGGTGCGAGGGCGCCACCTGGCGTCCGATGGGCGCTGCGGCGGCCGCGCGGGGTCCCCGGCCAATACTGCCGATCCGGACCCCGTGCGGGATCCGGACGGGAGCCAGGGGTCAGCTCCCCCGGGGGACGGCCCGGCTCCCCGGCCTCTGTGCCCACGCGCCCGGGACTGTGTGGAGACACTCGGAAAACGCCCTCTTTCGCGCCTCCGCCTCAGCCCCTACACCCAGCGGACTCGCGCCGAAGGTTAGCAGGATCCCCGCGGAGCGCGGGCCCTTTAAGGCGGTGGGCGGGCCGCGCAGCCGGAGGTCATTAGCATACATTAGCATGCCCCGCCCCGCCGCTGGGTAGCTCAGTCGGCCGGGAGCAGCGCGCGGGGCGCTCGGGACGCGGGGCGCGGGGACGTCCACGCCGCGCAGCCCGCCCTGCGAGCGCGATGCCCGGCCCGCCGCGCCCCCGGGCCCGGGTCCCGCCGCTGCCGCTGCTGCTGCTCGTGCTGGCGGCCCGCGGGGGCTGCGCCGCGCCAGCACCCCGCGCGGAGGATCTCAGCCTGGGGGTGGTGAGTGCGCAGCCGCGAGGCGGTCCGGGCTGGCGGACCCCTCGGGCGCCCTGGACCCATTTCCCCGGCAGCAAAGCCGAGGCGGTGACGGGCCGAGGGTTGGGCGCGCGCGCACCGGGTCTGGGACCAGGCGCCTGCCCCTTCCCCGCCCCGTGCGCTCGGAGCGTTGCAGCCGCAGGAGCCCGCGCAGGGGAGCGGGGGTCGCCTGGCCCGAGCCCCGTGCCCGGCTCGGAGCGGCTCCAAATGGGGACCCCAGGCGGGTGAGGCAGGCGTCGCAGCCCGGGAGAAGTGCGCCCCGCGTGCGTTCCCGGGGGAGGGAGGGAGAGGGACGCGCGCCCACGGCCGAGGACAGGCCGGCGCTGCGGAGTGTGGGCGCCCGGAACGCGGGTGGTTCTCGAGTTGGCTCCGTGGCGAGTGTTGGGGAGCGAGGGAGCCGGCCCTCGGCATCCCCCCGAGCATGGATCTTGGCCCTGCGCCACGTCCACTTCCTCTGCCAGGGTGCCCAGCCTCCCCCTGCCGCCCCCACGGCCCTGTCCGGAGCGTGATGGGGTCCCCCTGCCGGCCCCAGGCTCGTTCGGAGCCCCACCGCCCGCCTCTCCCGTGTTCCCCAGCCCTGGCCGTCCCGCTGGCTTGGGAGCCGCGCTGGAGAAGGCGGTGGCCCTTCCCACACCCCCTCCCTCGTGCAGCCTGCCGGGCTTGGAGCCTCTTCTGGCCCTGGGAGAGTTAGACCAGACGACGTGCATCTGGTGCCCCCCTGGGCGCGGGAGGCCGAGCCAGGGCTCCGGTGCATTGAGCCGATTCCTTCTGAGGTTTCCGCCCCTGCAGCTGCCCTGGCTGCGCCGGGACGCAGGGACCCAGGCCCGGGCCCTTAGCGCCCCACCCGCGCGCACGGCCCCCATCCCTGGCATCTCCTCAGAGGGTGCTGGGTGGGGGGGCCCTCTGCCAGTGCCAGGGGCACGCGGGAGCGCCAGGTGGGTCCAGACAGGCGCAGGCGTTTGGGCGTCGTCGGCAGCCCTGTGCTCGGCAGGACTTGGCCACAGGTTCTGGACGAGAAACAGGCTCTGGCCGCTGCCAGGCCGCCCCAGCCCTCCAGCCACAGGGAAGGTGCCGCCAGGGCTCCCGCATGCGGACTTCGGGGGACCCCACGGCCAGCTGCCCCCCAGCCGAACTGCCGCCTCTGAGAAGGTGTGCCCTCACCCCCCTCCTCCAGGCTCCCGGGGCTGGCGGTTTCCTGGACCCCCTCCCGGGGCGCACACTCTGTGGACACCGCGTCTGGGCTGAGCCAGTGCACAGTCCAGGCCTGGAAGGCTACTGGGGGTCACGGTCAGGCGGTGGAGCTCCGGCCCAGCCAAGTTTGCTCGTCAGACCCAGCGCGGTCCTGAAGTTTCCCCCCGCTGCCCGGAGACAGCCGCCAGGCACACTGGCCCCTGGTCCGGCCTGGGCACCTCCCGCCCCTGTTCCCATAGGCTCTCCAGTACCCAGGCGGCCACTCGGCCGCACCCTGTGGGGTGCGCTGGGCGGGGGACGTGGCTGGCCAGCCTGGGACCCAGAGACAGCAGGGCCCTGGCGTCTGGCCCCCTGGGGAGAGCAGAGGCTGCTGCCCTTGCCCAGGGAGCCCCCACCCCCAGGAGGCCTAGTGCGGGAGAACCTTCCTGCCTCTTGCCCTGGTTTGTGGGCAGAGGGCGGCCTCTGGTGGCCTTCTGAGGAATGACACCTCAGAGCCTGCGCCCCAGAGGTGCGAGAGAGTTCTGCGAGACACTCAGATTTATGGGGATGGGGCTCTTTCCCGCCCCCTCTAACGACCTCCCTGGGGCCCACCAGCCCGACGCGCAGGCCTGCCGACGCCCGGGAGGAGAAGGGCCCCTTTGTATGTGGGATCCGGCATCACCCAGACAGAGCTGAGCCCGTGGGCCAGGAGCAGTGGATGCTTCTGGGAGGGGCTCCCCCGACCCCGCGGTCACCCAGCCCACCGGCCTCAGCCGGGGGACAAAGCCCGGGTGAGGCCGCCACGCCCGGTGGACGGCGGCTGCCAGGGCCGGGCTGCGCCCTCCTGGGCCCCAGCTCCTCGTTCTTTCGGAGCAGGAAGTTTGTGGCGCAGGACACTCTGCCGCGCGTGGGGCCACGGGGGACGCAGCGCCCCCCTCCGGCCCCCTCCCAGAGGTGCGGGGGCACCGGGACCTCAGCCCCGAGTCTTCGTGGACGACAGCCTGCTGCCCCTGCTGTGAGCCTGCTGCCTCCACTGGGGGGGTGTGTCCCGGAGGGCAGTGCGCCTGCCCCGCGGCAGTCCCGGCTGGGAGTCACGCCCTTCAGCCGGTGCCCCTGGGGTGGGCGGGCGGCTCCTCACACTGAGCTTTGACCGGAGCCGCCCGGTGGGGGCCGAGGCGAGTGAGGCCCCAGGCCCTGCTGGAGGGGCCCCGCGGGACAGGCCTGACGTGGCGCGTGGCAGGCAGGCCCACTCCCCAGCGTGCCCTGGGAGGTCCCTCCTCCCAGCAGGCCTCTGAGTTCCCATTGCTGCACACCTCACACGGAACTCCGCCCTCCCGCTCCTGGGTGTGGGCCGGCTCGTGGCTGAGACGTGTGTGAGGGTGGCCGGGGCGAGCAGCTCCCAGGGGCTGAGCAGGGCAGGGGTGGGGGTGGTGAGGGTGGGTGGGAGCCGGGACCACGTGGAGACTCCCTGTGCCCCTCCTGCTCCGCCCCGGGTGGGGGTGGCAGAGCGACAGGCACCCTGGCCTCAGCCTGTGGCCCCCGGTCCCAGCACCCAGGGGAGCTGTGGGCCCCACGAGGGCTCAGGATCGCGTCACAGGCCTGGCGGGGGGCCAGACGCATCCTCGCAGCAGCCGCCGCCGCCGCAGTGGAGGAGCTGGCCACCTGCCCTCAGCGGGAGCCAGGGAGTGGGGCAGGGTTAACCTGGAGAGACTGAGTCTCTGGGCTCCCAGGCCCTCTGCCCTTCGCGCGGAGCTTGAATGTAAATGGGTGTGGCTCGGGAGCCGCCCCTCCCCAAGCCCCTCCCACTCCCGGACACCCGGCAACAAGTTAGTTCAGACTCTGGGCTGGCGGCCGGCCAGGAGGGACTGAGGAGTCTTTGTGGCTTTGTCGTGGGACCAGCGTGTCCTGGGCAGGACTGCGCTGGACGTCCGTGGTTGCTGCTCCAGGCAGCGCCGGACCCCTTCCTGGTGTGGCCCCCAGGCCTGTGGCCTGACCAAGCGCTGGCCTCGGTGTGCTCATCAGCACAGTGGGGCCAGGAGAACACGACGTGCGACATTCGCTGGGCGGTGCCCCTGCAGGGCCCAGGGCCGCGTCCGGCAGGAGGGGGAGGCGGCCTGGGAAGGCGGAGAGGGTTCGGGACCCGCGGTGTTTCTCCGACACAGCACGGTCCCCGGGGCCTGCCCAGAGTGCTGGAGCGCCCGTGATTCTTGTCTCCCAGTTAATGGCGACGTGGGCTTCCAGCAGGACATGGCGGGTGCTCGTGAAGGGTGATGCGGCCACCACCCGTTAGCTGGCAGCCCCTGGCTGCGCCCAGCACACCAGCTGTCAGAGGGAGGGGGCGGGTCTCGGCCAGGCACCCGCCTGCCAGGCCGCTCCCTGAGCTCCCTCAGGTCACCCCCAGGCCCAGCCCCCGGGCACTAGCTAAGGAGCCCGGGCTTTCTGCCGCAGCCAGTGGTGTGGGGATAGGCCCCGAGGCCAGCCGGCCTGGGGTCAGCACATGCCCTGACCTCTGTGTGCCTCAGTGTGCACCTCTGTAAAATGGGGATAGTAGAGCCCCAGGTCTCCAGGACTGACTCAGCAGTCCGTCCCGAGCGCCTGCTGTGGGCGGGGCCTGAGAATCGGCAGGGGCGCGCACCCGGTCCACACGCAGCTCTCCCCGTGGCAGGTTCACCAGTGGACAGTGTGCGACCTCGGTGAGCAGTCAGGGTCCCCCAGCGCGATGACTGTCGGTGGTGGGATGTCTCCGCTTGTTTGTCTGGGGTCCCCGCGTGACTGTCTGCTCCCGGGGCAGGGGGCGGGGGCGGCAGGGCGGGGTCTCCCGGTCTGTGCCGCCGCCCCAGCGCGCCCCACCAGGGCCCTTGGTTGGGGTGTGTTGATGGACTCTGCGGGTAGGGGGACTTGGGATCACCCCAGCGGCCAGCACCCCCGAGTCAGTGACTGTGGCCTCAGTTTCCTCAGCCGGGAGGAGACAGCCACCCCAGGAGGCGCCGAGGGTGGAGAGTGGACGGGAAGCAGGTGCTGGCCGCGCTCCGTGGTTTCCGTTGTCATGCGGGGCAGGGCTCTGCGCGGCCGCGCGTTCCTCCTGCTCTTCCCCTGGTGCTGCGGGCGGTCGGTCGGAGGCGGGAGTCTGCGCTCAACCCCGCCCTCGGGCTCGGCCCCCTCATCCGTGCGGTGGGGCCAGTGCCGGGGACCCCGAGGCTGGGGGTGCCCTTAGAGACGGGGTGTGGACAGGGACTGACAGTTCAGCCACCTGGCCCCGAGGTCCCCTCACACCAGGGCAGGGAGACGCGCCCACCTGGCGTCGGGGGCCAGCGCGCGTCCGTCCACGTGCCCGCCCGTCCCCACCCGTGAGTGCGCACACGGGGGCGGCGCAGCGGGGGGCGGCTGCAGGACACAGCGCGCGCAGCGAGCCTTCGTGTTCGCCGGCGTCCTGGCGTCACAGCGCGGCGCCCCCGCCGTGGCCCCGGGAGCCGCGGGACGCACGAGGGGAGGGGTGCCTGTGGCCTGCGGCCCGCGGGCGCAGTGACCGGCCGGGAAGCGCGGCCCCGGTGGTGGCTGCGCCCCTGGAAACGGACGAAAGTCTCGAAGGGCGCTCAGGGTGCGCGGTAAGTCCGTGGGCCCTGAGCAGGGACGCACGTGGTGCCCACGGGCGATAAACAGAAGCCCCGGGGCGGGAGAGCGGCAGCCCACGCCCGCCCCGGGGTGCGGGCGGGGCGCCCCTCCCGGGCCTCGGTTTCCGGGTCTGGGACTCGGCTCAGCGCCAGGGTCCCTGCAGGAGAGCCCCCTCGGCTGCTGGGGTGGGGGGCGGAGCCACTGCGGGTTGGGCGCCCCTAGCCCCTCCCCTTGCCGGTGGCCCCGCCCCTTCCCCCGCTTTCTGGAAGGTTCAGCACCACCCTCGCGCGCGGGCTGTTGCCCTGGAGACGCGGGTGCCGTGGGCGCGCGGGCGGGGGACGCCCGGGCTCCGTGGGCCCCTAGGTGTCGGGGGCGGGGCTGCCTTGGCTCCGGGGCCGGGGGGTCTTGTCGCCCCTGCAGGGGCCGCACGCAGCCCGGCTCTCGCGTGGGAGCTGCTGTCCCCGCGGTGAGCACCCCCACCCCGGCGCCGCCCCCTCAGCTCTCTCCGCTGGTTCGAGATGTGTCCGCTTCCGCGGAAAAAACTGAACCTCGGCCGTTTGGCAGTCCGCCCGCGTCCTCCGCGCTCCGCGGCTGGGATGGGGCGGCCCGTGCGGGGGCTGTTCCGGCCGCCCCCCCCACAGCGCCTCTCTCTGGCTCGGCGGGGGCTTCTTGGTGGGGGGGGGCGCCGTCCCCGTGTCCGCCTGCAGGTGGGGCTGCCGGCTCCCCCCAGACCTGCCGGAGGCTTGTCCTGCTCTCAGCCTGGGGGCCTCCCCTGGGGAGCCTGAGGGCTGTGCGACACCCCCACGCCGCACTGAAGCCCAGGCCTGGGGGGTCCTGGGAGGAGTTGGGGGTTGAGGCGAGGGGTCTGCACGGGGCCGCTGGGCGGTCTGAGACTGAGGGTGCAGAGCCCCAGGCCAGGCCCCCCGCCCCCCGCCCCCAGACTGGGCCCCTTCCTCAGAGTCTTGGCCCCACTGGGGCTTCGAAGTGCCGTGCCCCGGGGGGGAGGGGCAGGCCCCAGTGGCTGCCGCCCGGCTGGGGGGAGGAGGGCCGGGGCCGGCACTGAGCTCGGCCCCCACCGCTCGTTCTGCGAGTCGGCACTCGGGCCCGCGGCTGGTGCGCGCTTTCCAAGACTGGCAAACGTCTCCAAACAGACAAAGCGTCCTCAGGTCTCCCGGCCCCGCGCTCCGCGGCTGTGAACCGCTCCCGCCCCGGGGTGGGGGCTGCTCACTGCGGCCCCACGCCCAGCCGTTGTCCTAGTTACAGGCAGCCGGCGGGGGCGGGGGTGCTCCCAGGGTGTCTCCCTGTGTCCTCGCATCCCTCCGGCGTCCGCAGTCGGGGGTGGCCCAGAGGGGTGGAGCCACTTGCCCCCCTGGCACAGCAAGGAGGTGGCGTTCGGGTCGTGAGCCCGGCAGGCTGGCTCTGGGGTCTGGGCCACCCCCATCTTCCCCCTCCCGCGTGGACAGCTCTCGACCCGGCTCCCCAAATCGGCCCGTTGCCCTTCTCGGCTCGGGGTTCACCCTTCGGGTTGGGTCCTGAAGCCCCCGCAGCAGGGGGTCCGAGGGGTCTTGGGGACTGATGGGAGTCTGGGCTGGGCTGGGCTGGGCGAGACCCGCGGCCCCTCACGCTGCTCTCTGCCCCAGGAGTGGCTGAGCAGGTTCGGCTACCTGCCCCCAGCGGCGGCGGCCGCGGCTGCGGGGCGGCTGCAGACGCAGGAGGAGCTGTCCGAGGCCATCGGAGCCATGCAGCGCTTTGCTGGGCTGGAGGCCACCGGCGTCCTGGGTCAGTCCCCAAGCCTGACCACCCCCCCGGGTTTCTCCTCACCCCCCCCCCCCCCCGCTCCAGGCCTGACGCGCCCCCAGCCTGCCTGTGTGCAGAGAGGGTTGGGGGCAGGCCTGCTGTCCCTGGGCAGGACCCAGGGGTCCCACCACTTGGGAGCCCCTCTGTAGTCACCGCAGTGTCCCGGGGGGGGGGGCACGGCCACGCCCAGACCCCCCTCCACACCGCACCTCGGGGGCTGAGGCTCAGTGGCCACCGCAGCCGCCCAGGGCCAGGCCCCCTCCTGCCCTGCGGGGCGGCACCTGCCCAGTGCTGCCCAACACCCAGCTTTCCACGAGGAACCAGAAATCTGGGGAGTTTAGTGAGCACCCCACTTCTCACATGTTGGCAACCAATTCCAGTTTTGCAAAGACTCTCCTGAGGTCTGTCCCAGGGCTCTGCCTGGGACACACGTGTCACGTGAAACAGGAGGAGTTGGCTACGCCGGTCCCCGTGGGGCCCCGTGATTGGTCACAGCCCTGCCATGGGGTCAGCAACCCCGCAGAGTGGCCCCACCCCCCCACCCCCGGACCGAGGGCGGCAGGCAGCCGGGGGCCGCTCCTCAGGCTGCTGGGAAGCCCGGGTGGGGGCTGCGCTGGGCCTGGCCCCTGAGCCCGCCCGCCCGCCCCTGCAGACGAGGCCACCCTGGCCCTGATGAGGACCCCACGTTGCTCCCTGCCCGACCTCCCGGCTGCCGCCCCTGCCCGAAGGAGGCGCCAGGCCCCAGCCCCCACCAGGTGGAACAAGAGGAACCTGTCGTGGAGGTGGGTGGCAGGGCCCCCCTGCCTGTCCCGGGCTTAGTGTCGGGGGGCAGCTGACACTGACACCCTCTCACCGGGACTTCCGACCGCGGCCTGGTCTTCTCGGTTCTGGGGGCCAGAGGCCCTGGACCCCGGGCCGCAGGCAGGGCCGGCCGCTCCTGGGCTCTGGGGGAGAGTCCGTCCCCAGCCCGCCACGCCATCCTCAGGGGCCCTTTCTGTCCGCGAGTCCTCTTCTTTGTGGTGGGGTGCTCCCCGTGGACTTGGGGCCCCCCCCCAGAGTCCAGACCGGCCTCCTCCCAGTCCCTGCCTCTCCTCACGCCCCAGAACCCGGTTTCCCCACGGGGTGCCAACCCCAGCCCTGAGGAGGGGCGTCCCAGGGAGCCCGGGGCGGGCGCGGGGGCCCCCCCGGCGCCCCCACCGCGGCTCTGACCCCGCCCACCCAGGGTCCGCAGGTTCCCGCGGGACTCGCCCCTGGGCCGCGACACGGTGCGGGCGCTCATGCACTACGCCCTCAAGGTCTGGAGCGACATCACGCCCCTGAACTTCCACGAGGTGGCCGGCAGCCCCGCCGACATCCACATCGACTTCTCCAGGGCCGAGCACGACGACCCCTACCCCTTCGACGGCCCCGGCGGCACCGTGGCCCATGCCTTCTTCCCGGGCGACCGCCGTGCCGCGGGGGACACCCACTTTGACGACGACGAGGCCTGGACCTTCCGGTCTGCGGGTGCGTCGGGGCCGAGCGCTGGGGGCCGCCCCGCCCAGCCCGGGGGACGGGGCAGGAGCCGCCCGGGGCCCCTGGGAGGTGGAGGAGCCGCCAGGGCCCACCTGTCCGCTCGTGGGAGCGTCTGGGCAGCTCCAGTGCGGGTGGGCCTCACCTGCGGCCTCTGGTAGGTGCCCCACCTGGCCGGGCTTCCAAGCCCGGGACACGACTCCCCGTGTCCTCTGACTGGCCGAGGGGGCTGTCCTTGTGCAGGGAATGTGGCCGACCCCGCTGTGAGTGGGGTGTGGACCCTGTCGCCCCCGGAGGGCCGCTGCCGAGACCCAGACAGGCCCAGGGACTCCTTGGGCACCTTCCTGCCCAGAACCCGCCCCGTGCACCAGCCCGGCCCCATGTCCCCCGATCTGTGACTCACTGCCCCCACCCCGTCCTCAGATGACCACGGCATGGACCTGTTCGCGGTGGCCGTGCACGAGTTTGGCCACGCCATCGGGCTGAGCCACGTGGCGGCCGAGCGCTCCATCATGCAGCCCTACTACCAGGGCCCCGTGGGCGACCCCCTGCACTACGGGCTCCCCTACGCCGACCGGGTGCGCGCCTGGCAGCTGTACGGTGAGTGCCCCCCTCCCCAGCCGGCCCCAGCAGCCCGGGAACAGGGGTGGGAGTTGGGGACCCCCCCTCCTCCGGGGGCACAGAAGGGTCCCTCCGTCTCCACCCCGGGGTTCCGGGAAGGGCGCTGGGGTTGCAGGGAGGCGGGTGCGCCAGGCTCCACGCAGCCCCCCTGTCTCCACAGGTGTGCGGGAGTCCGTGTCCCCCACGGCGCCGCCAGCCACCACGGAGCCCGAGGAGCCCGCCCTCCTGCCGGAGCCCCCCGACAACCGGTCTGGCACCCCGTAAGCCTGTGTCCCCCGAGGCAGCGCCGCCCTGAGCCCCAGCCGGTGCTCTCTCCTCAAACTTCCCCGTCGGTGGGGGCGCAGCTGCCCCCCACGCCCAGCCCTGGGCCTGCAGAGACGTTGGGTTTCCCATGTGACATCCCCGAGGGCGTGTGACAGACGCCTCCTCCGTAGCGTCAGACCAGCACCGCCTCTGAGCCCCGGGATTCTCTGGGTCAGGGACTCCGGCAGGGCCCACGGGGTGTGGCAGGGGCACGGCCGGCCCCTGCTCCGAGGCGGAGGGGACGTTGTCGCTGGTGGCGGCTCGGAAGGCGGGACGCCTGGTGCGGTCACCGGGGCTCGCACACGTGGCCTGTGCGCGAGCCTGGAGCCCGAGCGGCCGTGCACCCAGGGAGCGTCCTGAGAGCTGGGCTGGACGGCGGCTGGACGCGAGCTGCCTGCCCTTCGGGGCCGAGCCTCGGAGGTCGCCTCGGGGGGCCCTTTGGCCCCCACACCGGGGGCCAGCCCGCCCCCCGCCCCCCTGAGCGCCCAGCACGGCCGGGTGCCGCCTTCGTGCTCGCACCGCGCGCGAAGCGCAGACCAGTGCGTGCGGTTGCTGGTGCTCAGGTTTCTTCGCTCTTAGCGGGTTTGATTTTCGTTTCTGAAGCTGGTTTCACGCTTTCCTCCCTCCGCGGCGGGCAACGCCGCGTGTCCGCTGAGCTCAGGGGGTGCTGCTCCAGCTTCCTTTCCGTTCCACTCGCTGAACGAGCTTCTGGGCCCTGAAGGCCCAGGTGTGCCTTCAGGGGAGTCAGCCTCCCCGGCCGCCCCCCCCCCCGCCACCGGAGGCGTCCCCTGAGAGCTCGTCCTCACTGACGCGGGGTCTGGGCCCCGCCCGCTCCAAGCTCTTCCTCAGGCGGGCCTTCCAGTCCCTGGCACACCACCGTCACCGTCGCCCTGAGCCTGCCCTCGGGCACAGCCGCAGCCCTGACTGAGGCCGGTCCCCGGCACGGTGGCCAGTGTCCCAGTGGGCTCCGGAGGCGGCGAGAGCTATCAGTCCAGGTGCCCCCAGGGCTCCGCTCGCTCAGGGTCCACCCTCGGCCGACCCGACGGGGCCTGTTTCATTTGCTCTTCTCTCCGGGCGCCACTGCTGTGCGTCTCCGAGCAGCGGGCGGGTGCGGGGCTCCCTGGGGGCCGGGGCTCCCGCGGCGGCCCAGGATGGGGCTGCCCCGCCCACCGGCTCCGTCTGTCTCCAGGCCCCGGAAGGACGTGCCCCACAGGTGCACCACTCACTTCGACGCGGTGGCCCAGATCCGTGGCGAGGCCTTCTTCTTCAAAGGTAGCCCCCACGGGGCGCGGGGCGCAGGGTGCGGGGTGCGGAAGGTGGGGTGCGGGGCGCACGGCGCCCGGGGCGGAGGGGGCCCTGGGCCAGGCCCGCCCCACACGCGCTGTCCCCGCAGGCAAGTACTTCTGGCGGCTGACCCGGGACCGGCACCTGGTGTCGCTGCAGCCGGCGCAGATGCAGCGGTTCTGGCGGGGCCTGCCGCTGCACCTGGACGGCGTGGACGCCGTGTACGAGCGCGCCATCGACCACAAGATCGTCTTCTTCAAAGGTGGGCGTGCCGACCAGGGCGTGTTTGCCGAGCACCTACTCTGCGCCATGTGCTGTGAGGCTCTGCAGCACCCAGGGGCCAGAGCACGGGACCCCTGCCCTCACACCGGGGGCGCACACGGTCCGCAGCCACCGGGGCTGAGGCAGCTCATCCCAGGGCACCCGAGGGAGCAGGTCACAGGCGGCGGGAACGGCCTGGGCGAAGGTCCTGGGGCAGGAAAGGCCCGGCCCAGCGCCAAGAGGGCGATGAGACTGGAGCCGGGTGAGGGGCGCGGCCTCGGGGCTCGGCCGCGGGGGCCGGAGTGGGGTTGGGGGGGAGCTGGACTCTGTCCAGGTCCGTGTGTCAGTCCGGGCTGACGGCCCCCCAGAGGAGGGCGTCACTCCCCCACCCCGCACCCCCATGCTGGGGCCTGGCATGCTCAGCGGGCGCCCGGACCCAGAAGCTTAGAGCTGCGCCCTGGCCCTCAGCGCAGCGGTCGAGGGTCAGGTGGGACGTGCCCAGGGCAGAGCCGGCCATCTGCACTCAGAGGCTGGAGGGCCCGGAGTCCGCCCCTCCAGACAAGCCAACCCCAGCGCAGGGCTGGGCCTCCCCAGCGTGAAGCCATCTGCTGCCTGGACCCGGGCTCCCCCCGGCCCGGCCTCCATGTGGGGGGTGCAGGGCCCGATGCCCACACTCACCGTGCGGCCACCCCAGCCAGTCTCGCCGCCCAGCACGGCCACACTCGCGGTGGCGACCCGGCACCGAGGACGTGTTCCGGACTCGGGCTGTTTGACGGCACGTGAGAGCCGAGGATGCCCCGGCACACCCCACAGCTCCGGCCTCGCCAGGTCAGGCCTGCAGCGCCCCAGGGCCTGCGCTCCTGCGCGGCCGCCGGTCCAGGGCACGCACACCAGCCTGCAGCCCTGACCGCTGAGTCCGCACGGGGCGGGCCACCACGCCTGCCCCCACCCCCACGACTCGGCCGTGGCAGGGCCCCCGACGTGAGTGGGCTGGGGCGCCGGTTCCCCCTCGTGGGTCTGGCTGGCGTCACCCATCTCCTGTCCTCTGGGCTCATCCCCGGGCAGCAGGTGTCCGACCCCCTTCCTCTTTGGGGGTCAGGCCCCTTCCAGGGAGCGGGCGGACCTCCCCGTGTTTGCCCTTCGCCCGCCGGTGGACACTGAGGCTGCCCCCGAGGTCCAGCCGCTGGGACGATGCTCCCGTGAACGCGGCCGTGCAGCTCTCCCCCTGGGTCCCTGCTCTCGCCTCTGGGCGTCGGCTCAGAACGGTGCCCCTGGCGATTCTGCATGAAGCTGGTCTCGGAGGGTGCCCACTGGCAGGCACAGCTTCCCCGCGTCTGCACCGGCTCCCGCCGCCCAAGTGGCCGTGGGGGCGTCTGGCTGGTTCTGGCGGACACCTCCCCAGCGTGTGGCACTCACCTCCTGGGTGATGAGTGCCACCGCGTCTGTCCCCGTGGTCAGCGGCCACCCCCATGGTCAGTGGCCATCTGAAGACCTTCCTCGGTGGAACGTCTGCTCCCGTCCTTCGTCCAGCAAAGGACTTCTAAGGTCCGCTGCCGCTTCTGTCCTGAACAACAAGGCCGATCCTTGCTGGGCAGCGGGGAGGACCTGCCGTCACCACCGAACTGAACTCTCGCGTCCCCACCCTGCTCTGGCCGAGCCATGTCACCGTGCTTCCTGACAGAGCCGAGGACGGGCCCCATAGCCTCTTGGACCATCTTCCGGAAGCTCGGCGGATGGGTTTGAAGTGCTGGGTGGTGTCCGAAGGCTCACACACTCGTCCGCTTACAGCCTGTGTTGTCTCTGCCACAAAGACGCTCCCAGCCCACCTCCTCGCACAAGTGGGTCAGGCAGAGCAGAGAGAGGGCATCTGGTGGGCCCTGATGCTTCCCGGCTCTGCCGAGTGGTTGCCCTCCCAGAACCTGGGTGCTCAGGCTGCCCCCAAGTGGAAGGAGCCTGTGCCAGGTGCAGAACAGGTGCCAGGTGCAGAACAGGTGTCAGGTACAGAACAGGTGCCAGGTGCAGGTGCCAGGTGCCAGGTGCGGGGCAGGTGTCCGGCCCTCAGTAGGTGCTCAGTAAACGCCGGTGAGGACTGCTGGGCCCAGTGGGGTGGGGGCGGCCGCAGGCGGCTGGTGCCGGGGGAGAAGCGAAGGCTGGAGCCCCGCCCGCAGGCGGCCGAGCCCCAGCCGGCTCTTTCTCTCCCCAGGAGACAGATACTGGGTGTTTAAGGACACTAACGTAGAGGAAGGATTCCCGCGACCCGTCTCCGACTTCGGCCTCCCGCCCGGCGGCGTCGACGCTGCCCTCTCCTGGGCCCACAGTGACAAGACTTATTTCTTTAAGGACCAGCTGTACTGGCGCTACGATGAGCAGGCCCGGCGCATGGACCCCGGGCACCCGGCCCGCAGCCCCCCATGGAGGGGCGTGCCCAGCACGCTGGACGACGCCATGCGCTGGTCCGACGGTGAGCCGGGCGGGCCGAAGAGGGGGTGCGGCCTCCGTCTCCCCACCTGTGGATGGGCGTGCAGAGGGGGAGGCTGGGGGCAGCCCTGAGCCAGGGGGCGCACCTGGGCACCCCTGCTGCTGACCCTCCAGGGGCCCCTCGCCCGCCGTGACGTGGCCGCCCCGGCGCCCTGTCCCCTGGTCCCTCCCTGACCGGGCAGCACAGAATGACCGCCACCCCACAGGGCAGCTCCAAGGGGAAGGGAAGCTGCTTTTACTTGGCTTTTTAAAAAACAAGCTAATCTAACCCTTTATTATTTGTTTTTATAACATCTCTTAAAACATCCTTTTTTCATTGATTTTAGAGAGAGGAAGAGAGAGTGAGAGAGAGACATTGATCTTTGGTTCCACTTATTCATGATTGATGCCTGTGTGTGCCCTGACCAGGGACTGAACCCGCAACCTTGGTGTATCGGGAGGACACTGTAACCCAAAGCTACCCGGCCAGAGCAAATTTAATCCTTTTAAAAACAGGACCTGCCCTGATCAGTGTGCCTCAGTGGGTTGGGCGCTGTCCCACAAAGTGAAGAGTGGCTGGTTCGATTCCCAGTGAGGGCGCAGGCCTGGGTTGCAGGTTCAGTCCCTGGTCAGAGCATGTACAGGAGGCAACCAACTGATGTTTCTCTCCCTTTCTTTCTCCCTCATTTCCTCTCTCTCTAAAAATAAGTAAGATATATTTTTAAAGAATTTATTTATTTATTTTTAGAGAGGGGGAGAGAGAAAGAAAGGGAAACATCAATGTGTGGTTGCCTCTCAAGCGCCCCCTACTGGGGAACCTGGCCTGCAACCCAGGCATATTCCTTGACTGGGAATCGAACTGGTGACCCTTTGGTCCTCAGGCCCATGCTCAATCCACTGAGCTACACCAGCCAGGGCATAAGTAAAAATTTTTTTTTCATCTAAAATGTGGGGCCTAAGAATTGATAATCAAAGTGCACAGTATGTGAACAGTATATCCAATTAATGATCAATAGAAAATCATGATGTCGATCGTAGTTTAACTGAAAGAAAAAGCAGGCTTGCAGTCCAGCGTACCCCTGGCACCTCCGACCCTGTTCAGAGCTCTCTCTCGCCTTCCGGAACCCCAGCTACTCAAGGTTCCTTTTCCAGGGACACTACATGCATTGCCATGTTCGAGCAGCGTTAGGGAGAAAACGGATCAAACTTACTCAAAATCCACATGACGGAAAAAAAACCCGCATTATTAGAAAGACAGTCACGCTCATCAGCCGAATCATCTTAGTGTATTTTCTTCGATTTTTTTCACTTTGGTGTATTTTAGAAAATGGACTGTTAAAGTAGTCAGACCCGGGAATAGAGGCTCCCCCGCCGTCCAGCTGGGCCCTGCCCTTCCCACGGGCTCCATGGGATCAGGGCGTGGCCTCTGCCCGGCCCACCGCGCCCTGCTGGCAACTACCCTCCCGGCAGGGGGGATGGGGGGAGGGGAGACGCTGAGCTCTGAGGAGAAGTGTGGCGTTACAAGTTACAAGAGAGCCTAAGTTAACGAGCACAGGCCTGAGAACCATTAGTTTGCCAGGACGGAGTGGAACCACGGCAAATTCAAGGATGCTTTTGAGAGCGAGGCAGCGTCCCAGCCGGCGTGGTGGGGCTTAGCGGGCACTTGCAGGCTCTCACGGGCTCCTCGCTCGCTTGCTCTGCCCACTTCTCGGCAATCGCGCGCCGGCAGGAAGCCGCACCCCTCGGCGCCGCGTGTGGCCTGGGGAAGCGGCTGGGGAAGACGGCGCAGCGTTCAGCCGCGCCTTCCGCTCGGTGCGCAGCGCTGCTCCCGCGGCGCCTGGCACGGAGGGGGCCCCCAGCAGTGCCCGTGGGAAAGACACCCGGGGGGCGGCTGGTGCGTCCCTCCGCCCGCAGGCGGCCGCCGAGCTTTGCCCGGCCTGTGCGGCCGAGACAGGGGCTCCGACCCGCAGGACCGCGCGGCCCGCCCCGTGGCCCCAGCCTCGCCCGTGTCCCCCCGCCGTGGTGCCGCCGCGCCGCAGCTCCGAGCTCAGCCACCCCCGCTCTCCTCCGCAGGGGCCGCCTACTTCTTCCGCGGCAGGGAGTACTGGAAGGTGCTGGACGGCGAGCCGGCCGTGGCGCCCGGCTACCCCCAGTCCACGGCCCGGGACTGGCTGGTCTGCAGAGACTCTCAGGCGGACCCCGAGGGCGCGGGCGCGGAGGCCGGGGGCCCCGCCCCACCCGGACAGCACGACCGGAGCCACTCGGAGGACGGCTACCAGGTGTGCGCCTGCAGCTCCGGGGCCTCGCGTCCGCCCCGGGCCTGGCGCCCCCTGCTGGCCGCCACGCTGCTGCCGCCGCTGAGCACCCTGTGGAGAGCGGCCTGGGCCCCGGCGCTCTGACAGCAGCTGCGGGCCTGCGAGAGGACAGGCGGTCACAGCCCCGGGTCACCCAGGGCAAGGAGGAGTGCCCCCCGCAGCAGCACCCAAAGCAAGAACTCCCGGAGAGCGGGTGTGTGGCCTTGGGGACCCAGCCTTGCAGCCCCTGAACACAGCCACAACTTCAGCCTCCCGGATGGAGGGGCAGCTTGGGCGCTGCCCCTGGGCCGGGCACCCTGACTCGTGGACACAGGAGCACCCTTCCACCCCCGCCCCCCTGCTTTTCTGCCTCCGCCTGTCCGGTGGGGACCGGGAGACACTGCCCTTGCAGCCGGCGGACACTGGTCACAGAGACCCTCACTGATGGGCCCGGGGCCACCGCCCGCGTGCGGCCACCCTGCCCCTGGCCCCTGGTGCTCCCACCCACCGAGGGCGTCTCTGCCCCCAGTCCCCGTGGGCTCGCCGTCGCCTTGCCCAGGGCAGCCCCCAACACTCAGAGGAGCCCCGAGCTGGGGCCGCCGCCGCCGTTCTCCCAGGTGACAGCTGCAGACAAACACGACCTCCCTACTTTCTCGCTGCTCGGTGCGGCCCCTTGCACCCCCAGGTGGGGCCTGCAGGTGGCCGTCCTCCAGGCCTGGATCCCGGACCCGCCTGCACTCGGGTGGTGGCACTTCCTCCCCTCGGGTTCAGTGGCCCTGGCCTGTCCAGCATCTCCGTGACGAGTCTGTGACCCGGGGTCCTTATGCCCATTTCACAGATGGAGGAGTGGAGGCCAGCTCCGGGAACTCGCCTCCTGCCTGCAGACAGGCCCAGAGCCCACAGAGCTCGCTGGCAGAGCCCCTGCCCGGGTGCACAGGACGTGCAGAATGAGACATGTCCCGTCCTGGGGAAGTGCCTGGGGCGTGGCAGCCAAGGCAGCGAGTGCCCTCAGGACCCCGGGGAAGCTGCTATGCCCTTGGCTGCTGCTGCTGCCCCGGCTCCGAGTCAGGCCGGCAGCCCCCTCCCGCCAGAGGGGCCGAAGGAGCCCAGCTGGCAGGGAGCCGGTCAGCGCTGGCTTCGCAGGGTGGGCGCCGGGCCGGAAACGGCCTCTCAGTGCCCACAGCGGTCATGGGGCTCGGTCAGGACGAGCAGCCGGCTCTAAGGTGGGCTCAGAGGGAACCTCTGGGGGCTGGTTCACGGCGGTGGCCCCCACCTGGAGGGAGACAAACGCTGCTTTTGGGGGGGGGCATCCAGGCAGGTTCCTGAGCAGGAACCGGGAGCAGTTGGTCCCACACGGGACGGACGGGAGCAGCAGGCGCAGGCATGGGGTCCCGTGTCCTCCTGCCACAGAACCTCGGCCCCCGGAGGGCAGGGGTGTGCAGTCGCTGTGGGGCTCAGAGCTCACGCCCTGGCCACAGGAAGTCCCCCCCGAGACTCCCCACTAGCCTGAGAGAGGGGTGGGAGGAGCCCCTGCATCTCAGATGAGGGCCCCTGACCTGGCGCCCAGGTAGCAGAGGCGGAACCCGGCGTGTGTGGCCGCCTCGGTGGGCGGCAGGCTCCAGGCCACGTCCCGCGTCTCCCTGCCAGCCGCCTGGAGCTGGAGCCGGGAGGGCGCTCTGCCTGTCGGACCGCTCACGTAGGCTGACCTGCCCGCCCCTCCCCCGCGTGGCCCCACCTCGGCCCCACGGCCCACGTGGGAGCTGCGTGTCTTTGGGGAAAGGGCCGGGGGAGGGTGGGCACGGCCCCCGGGGGACTAGGTCTGCAAGAACCCGGCCGTCACCGCGGGTGGTGCTCTTCCCCTTGTGTCCAAGCCAAACGCGTTCATAAAACTTTCCCACCGAGGCTGTTGCGTGTGGAGGTGGGGACGGGAGTCGGTGACGCCGTGCTGGGCCGTGGGGGGGGTGAGTGGTGACGCGGGCAGTGTCCGGCTGGGCCCCCCTCGCCGCCTGGACGAACCCTCAGGACTCTTGACTCCGAGTCTCGTTGTGGTGACCTGCGTGCGTCCAGTTCGGAGTGACCTCGAGTTTGCAGAGGGGGCCGGTGGAGTGCACCCCAAACACTGGGCAGGGGTGCCCACAGGGACGTCGTCCCACCGGGCAGGTTTCCGTGTCCGTCCCAACACCCTCCGCCGACGGCAGGCGCGTCAGCGGTGCGTGGGTGAGCTCTCCCAGGCGGGCACAGCCCCGGGGCCCTTCCCTGACCGCTGCGACCTCACGGCCTCCCGCTCAGCCAGGGCTGAAGGTCGCGTCGCGGCTGGCTGCCCGGTGAGCTGCCCCTCGGCGTCACCGCCCAGAGGGTCCTCACAGGTTCCGTTCCGCGCCTCCGGCAGGAGGGTCACAGAACGGAGCGACACATGGGGAGTGTCGCCGTGGAAACCCTGGAGATTCCGTGGGAGACTGGATTGTCAGCCACCGCCTGTTTTTATCCCCGGCTGTGCTGGTGCTACTTGCAGAGGCCGGGCGTCCCCAGGGGCCCGGCAGCCTCAGGGACAGACCCAGAGCGATCCCCCGGGAGGAGGTCCAAGGCCTCCCACCACGGCGGGAGGGCAGGGACCCCAGTCGAGGTCACACGCCGGGCGCAGGTGCTGGCTGACCTCGGCCTGACTCAGCCTCGTGAGCAAACAGACAAGTCCCCAAGTGTGTGGGTGTCAAGTTTACAAAACGTGTCACCACAGGTGACCTCAGGGGCCAGAACACACTGTACGGGGGAGGAAACCGAGGCACCGGCCTTCGCTCCGGGAAGCCCAGCCAGCACTGCGGGCTCAGGGGGCTCAGGCGGACCCGCCCCTGTCCTGGAGGCCGGGAGTCCCAGAGCAAGGTGCTGGCAGGCGCGGTCCCCAGGGAGGGCCGCCTCCTGTGTCCTCAGGTGACAGACTTCCTGTCTCTTCTTAGAAGGACTCTGATCCCCGGTGAGGGCTGGCCGCTGTGGCCTCGCCTGAACTTCCTCCCCTCCGTGGGTCTCACTCCCAACACCCTCCCCCTGGGGGCCAGAGCCTGCACACGGGAGCGCTGGGCACAGACATTCAGCTGTGACTCGGGGCCAGGTCGCCCCCTCCCACCACCGTCCTGGGAGCAGATGGTGGGGCCCTGAGGGGCCATCGCCCGTCAGAGGAGGCCGGGTGCTGTGGTCTCCGGTGCTGTCCTCCTGCCCTGGGTGGTCGTCTGAATGGGGGCAAGGTGGTCACCCCCATCTTCCAGATAGGGACACGGAGGCCGGGGGAGGGGCCGGCACTGGAGGGCAAGGAGTGGAACCCAGTCTGAGGATCCTGCTCAGACTCGTGTGGCTGCCAGGCCCCGGGGCCCAGGTCGGGGTGGGGGTGGCTGTGGGCTGGCGGCTGGTGGCCAGTCCAGGGTGGGGCCTCAAGGTGTGAGCAGGCTTCCTCCAGGGCCGTGGGGACCCTGCCAGCCTGGGCGGAGTCCAGCTGTCCCTGTGCCTGCGGCCACCGTCCCACTGCGGGCTCTGCGGCCCTGGATGCACGAGTTGGCCGTCCACAGCGCAGCGCCCTCTACTGCCCGTTTCTGGAGGTTGCCTGGGGCAGGGTTGCTGGGTGTCTCTGGGACTTCCATGTGGCCTGGTCTTGCTCCTGAGCGTGGGCGGCCAGGTCCTGAGGGCCAGAGTCGCAGCAGACACCTGGAGGGAAGCTGTGTCACCCTCACAACCTTGTCTGGGGTCACCTCTGCCACTTCCTGCGGGGAAACCGAGGCCTTCAGCTCCCAACCTGCCCCTGCCGGCGGGGCCCTCGTCAGCTTCCTCCCAGACCTCCCGCCCAGTCTGTCCTGCTCCCCCCTCCGATGTCCCACCCCGTCACCCCCCTCAGAGCCATCGGCTCTGCCTGGAGTATTCCGGCAGCCTCCTAGTGGCCCCTGCACCCGCCGTCAGGGCGCAGGGCCGGTCCCAGGAGCCCTGGGCACCAGTCCTCCGCAGCCCACGCCGACGGAGCGCCCGGCTCTCCCGGGGCCTCGGGCTCGGAGGCGCTGGCCGGAGGCCATGACCTCTCGTTCCAGAGGCAGAAGAGGGGGTGACAAGCTGGCACCCCCATCCGTGCAACGAGACTCCTCAGATGGTGTCTGGGGTCAGAGCAGCAGGGGGCGCTTGATTTACTTTCCTCTCTTTAATGTTTTTTAACTTTTTATTCTATTTTATTGATGATGCCGTCACAGTTGTCCCAATTATGCCCCTTTGTGCCCGCTCCACCCGGCACCCCCCACGCCTCAGGCCTTCCCCCACCACTGTTCCCGTCCACGGGTTGTGGGTGTGAGTGGGGGTAAGGTCTTCGGCGTCTCCATTTCCTGTGCTGCACGGCACGTCCCCGGGGCTGTCCTGCAGCGACCTGTTCGTGCCCACACCTCCTCACCCATCCCCCACACCCCTCCCGTCCGGCAGCCATCAGAACGCCCTCCGTATCTGTGATTCTGTCTCTGTCCTTCCTGTTTGCTTAATTTGTTGTTTAGGTTCAGTTGTTGATAGGTATGTGTTTTTGCCATTTTATTGTTCATAGTTTGGATGTTTTTTCAAAAATAAGTCCCTTTAACATTTCATGTAATAATGGTTTGGTAATGATGAACTCCTCTAGTTTTTTCTTGTCCGGGAAGCTCTCTATCTGCCCTTCGATTCTAGTGACAGCTTTGCTGGGTAGAGCAGTCTTGGTTGTAGGTCCCTGCTTTGCATGACTTGGAATACTTCTTTCCAGCCCCTCTGGCCTGCAAGGTTTCTTCTGAGAAATCAGCTGACAGTCTTATGGGATCTCCCCTGTAGGTAACTAATTTATTTCCTCTTGCTGCTTTTAAGATTCTCTCCTTATCTTTAAACTTTGGCATTTTAATTCTGATGTGTCTTGGAGGGGGCCTCTTTGCATCATTCTTGTTTGGGACTCTCTGAGCTTCCTGGACTTGCATGTTTGTTTCCTTCACCAAATTAGGGAAGTTTTCTTCATTATGCTTCCAAGTAGATTTCCAACTCCTTGCTCTTCGTCTGCTCCTTCTGGCCCCCCTACAGTGTGAACACTGGACCTCTTTGAGCTGGTCTAGGGGCTGCTTCTACTACCTCGTTGTTTGGGGTTCTTTTTTCTCGTTCTGGTTGGTGGTGGTTTGCTCCCTTTTGTCCCAAATCGTTGATTTGATCCTCAGCTTGGCGTAGTGTACTGCTGTGTCTTCCCCTGAATCAGTCCCCGCTGGTTTCTGAGCCCGAAGTGATGGGGACTTACCTTCCTGGCACTGGTGCCCTGGGCTGTGGGGCCTGGTGTGGGGCTGGCACTCCTTGCTCCCGAGATGTCCCTCCCAAAGTTTTACCCACCACACGTGGATGTGGGACCAGCCCATTCCGCGTCTCTGCCCCTCCTACCAGTTTGAGTGGATGTGGCTTCTTTAGTTCTGTAGTTGTCAGACTTCCCATTTAACTCAATTTCTGCCCGTTCTGAGTGGTGGTGGTTCTACAATTTAGTTGTGATTTTGCTGTGGTTGTGCGAGGAGGCGAGCTGTGTTTACCTATGCCGCCATCTTGACAAGAAGTGAAGTAGTGGGCATTTTAGGGTAGTCCTGGAGGGCTTCCCGGGGTAGGTGCCACCAGAGCTGAGAGCTACATGATGGGAGGAGCCCATGGCTGGAAGGCCTGGGAGGTGTTCCAGGAAGAGGCAACCTCCAAGGCGAAGGCCTCAGGCCGGGGTCAGTTGGTCACAGTGTCATATGGTGACATCACTGTGTCACTGGATACAGTGCCTGTCCTTGATAGGCCGAGGTTGTGAGTTTGATTCCCGGTCGGGACATGAGCAAGAACCAGCCAATGAATGCGCAGACAAGTAGAAGAACAAATCGATGTTCCTCTCTCTCTGTCCCCCCTTCCCTTTCTCGTTCTTTCTAAAATCAATAAAGGGATAAAAATAAAGAAGGCCTCCGGCCAGTGCCAACTCGGGAAGCTGGCAAACAGAAAGAAGCCAAAGGCCGGGACAGCTGGGCCGGGTCACACCAGCGGGGACTGGAACCCGGTGGCATGCCGCTGCACCCACCGAGCTGTGGGCTGCAAAGGGGGATGTGTGTGGGGGGGGGCTGTGGGGGGAGGCGCAGCATGGGCTTGGGCATCGGGAGGCCGGGGGGGGTGCGGGCAGGGCGGGGGGTGGCCGTCACCGGCTCCCGTCACACAGTGTCGTGCGCCCTGCCTGCCCCCGCAGAAGGCGCCACGTGTCCCTCTGGGCGTCGGGGGCGGCGCCGGGGGGAGACCAGAGGGTCTGCCTCTTTCCGAGCAGGGCTCGCCCACGAGCTGCCCCGCGCCTCCCCGGCTCCGCGTCCCGGCGTTTCTGACAACGAGGGCGGGGCCTTTGTTTCCTCTTATTCGTCCGGTTTCCACCTGTGTCCGCTAATGCGAGCACTGGGGAAAACACACAGAAAATAAGGTTCACCGGCAGCCACTTCAAGGGCACTCAGGGCCCTGCGGCCACGGCCCCGTCTAGTTCTGACCCCGTTCGTCCCCACGAAAGGAAGCTCCTGCCCTTCCCCCGCCCCTGCCCCCGCCCCCGCCCGGCGTGCGAACACTGCCCCACCCTCCCTGTCTGAGCAGCTGCCTGTTCTAGACACCTCGCCCCGGAGGGAGGGAACCCACAGCCCTCATCATCTGTGCCTTTCACGTTGTGCCCGGGTTCATCGTGCCGTAGCGTGAACCTCAGATTTGCTCCTTTTTCGGGGCAGAGTAATATTCCACGGCTCAGCTTTGCCACAGCCTGTTTCTTCTTCTCGTTGATTTCTAGAGAGAGAGAGAGAGACATGGGTGTGTTGCTCCGCCTGCCCACGCACTCATTGGCTGATTCTTGTCTGTGCCCTGACCGGGGATCGACCCGAAACTTTGGCGGGTCTCCACGACGCTCTAACCCACTGTGCTACCCGGCCGGGCTGCCATGTTCTTTTCGTGCGTTCACTCGCTGACGGACACCGGTTGTCGGTTCTGTGGCTCAGGCTGCTGAGGACTCTCCGGGGCACAGACACAGGACCGGCTGCTGGCTGTCCGCGGGGGCCCAGAGGACGTCTCCGCTGGTGGGTGCCGGCGAGCGCTGCTCCGGGAGGACGGGGTGTGGGCGCAGGGCCGCGCTGCTGCTGCGTCCTGCCTGGGTCTGCTCCACCCCTGCGGGCAGGTGGCGGGCAGGTGGCGGAGAGCACGCAGACCCCTCTCCCCGACACAGTTTAACGAGAAAAGCGGAGGGTGAAGACCCCACGTGCTCTTGCTGCAGACGCTCGGAAAAGGCAATACTGGGACTCACACAGCAGTGACAGCAGAGAGGGAGCAGGCAGGTGGCAGAAAGTTTTCAGGGAAACATGAACACACCTTTTTAGGTAAGAACACGGAAATCAGTGTGGAAATAGAGGAGAATCCGGGGTTTTGTGGGACGGAGGGCCGACAGTCGATCCTCAGGGCCCGAGAAGGAATCGGCAGGTACGTCAGTCGCCTGCCACCTCCCGAGGGGACGGAGCTGGAGCCCGAGGCCCCGCGGCCCCGAGGCCTGTGCGGGGCGGCTGACCCTGCAGAGACCCTCACGGCCGGCCTCCATGTCCCTGCATCCAGGGACCGTCTGTAGCCAGCAGCCGTCCGAGTGTTCCCTTGGTGTGGCCACCCTGTGACTCCCACGGGGCGTGTCGCCCACTCACACTTACGGACGCGCGTGCAGTCCGGTGGAGGGCAGTGATTCCAGGCAGCGGAGGGCTTGCTGCGGCCACTTTGCTCGCCTGCCCTGCCCTCTCTCCTCCGCTCCCTGACCGCCTCGGGCCCGCTGAGCGGTTTTAAAGTGTTAGCAAGCTTTGACTTCCTCCTCTGTTTAGAGCAGCTGTGTTTTCCCGTGTGTGGTCACTTTGGGGATTTGCGTAAAATAGAGTCATAACAGTGTATTTGGAGCTGATGACAGCTCACGCTCGATGGCCTGCAGAACCTCCCCCCCACACGTCCACTTCGGGGGAGAACACAGGCTGGGGGTGAGCTGACCCCGGTGGCCCTGGACACAGCCGGGGCTCAGACCAGCCTTGTGGCTCCTGCCCCATGCCCAGGCCAGCTGCACGGCCTCCCTGGGGGCTTGGCGAACCCCCAGGCTGGTGAGCAAGGTGGGGCGAGATTCCCGCCTTCTGAGACAGAGGGACGAGACTCCTGTGCCCTGTGTCACTGGGCGGGGCGCGGGCCGTCTGGGCAGCCACACCCACCGTGGCCATCACCTCCCCCACGCCTGGCCTCTGTCATCAAAGTGGGCGCTGTCCCCGGCCACCTCTCCCTGCCTTCCCCACAACCAGGTGTGAGGCCTGGGCGCCCTCCTCGAAACCTTTCTAAAGTGGTGTTTCTGCCTGTAAAATGGGGCCGTGATGCTCGCAGGGCATTTCCGGCTTCAGCCTCTGGACACTCGGAGGTAGAGAACCTCCCGCCGTCCGGTCTGGGAGACGGGGCCGTTACAGCGGAGCTGACAGGGAGTGGTCAGCAGTGTGGACACTGCAGGGCCGTCCAGACCTGCGGAGGACTCTCCTTAGAGTTTATCTGAACTGAGACTGCGGACGGCGGCCAGGGGGCGGGTTTTCCTGCGGACAGGGACAGTCCACGGCTCCGCGTTAGGGAGGCTCCGTGGGGGTGGGAGAACGCCGGAGGGGGACTGGGTCACGGGGGGTTAGCAAGGCTCCTGGGGGTGGTCCCCTCACTTCCAAGGCGTGTGAACGCAGATGCCAGGAACCGATGGGCAGGGCTGGCTTCAGGCGAAGAGAAACAAACCTTGGACAGAAGAAGTCCCGTGCCTGGGGGTGGCTCCCCACCGCGACCTGCCCAGGTGGGCATTTGTGACCGGATCGCCCCCCGAGGTGACTTCCCCCCAGAGCGGAGCTCCCGCTGTTGCTGGAATGGAGCTGTGGTGAACGGCTCCCGCTGAGCTGTCCCCGGGGGACCCCTGAGATCCCCGGCCACCCCTGCAGTGACCACGCAGCAGGAGCAGGAGCAGCCCTGTGTGGTTGGGAGTCGCCGAGGGTTCTGGGCTGCTTGTCACCGCAGCACCACCTGGCCGGGGCGGCGACAGGCAGGACCTCGGGGCTGTCGTGAGGCTGGGAGGAGGCGAGGCACGAAGTGCTTAGGTCAGCACCCAGCGCACGCCGGCAGGTGACTCAGACCTGGGCGGCCGGCCCTCCCGCCAGCGTGTGCGCACCTGCACGTGAGCCCTCGCTCCACTGACGCGAGACGTGACTTCTGCCTACCCTGCCTGCCGCAGCTCCCGGCTCCCCAGCGCCCACGCAGCCCGCTCCCCACGCCCCTGGACTGCGGTTTTGGTGCAGATGGAGCCCAACGCAATGCCCAGTTTCAGCGTTTTCGGTGGGTCGCTCCTTTTCACTGCTGTATAATATTCCACCATAGGGCCATCTCGGCACTGAGGTTTGGGGGCTTTGCTGGTGTTTTCCCCTATAAACGCTGCTGCTGTGAACCTCATAGGCTGTCCTCTGTGAGTGAGCGTGTGAGTGCGTCCCCTTGTAAAAGAGGGCTTGGCCTGGGGTGGGGGGGCTTCAGCAGAGCGG